GATACATTGGGTCTCATCAACTCTCTAGACAAGCTGGGGGAAAAGGTGAATTGGCCTAGGAAGTCTGTGAAACCCAGCGGACGTCGTGACCCTTCCAAAAGGTGTGAATTCCATGACGACATTGGGCATAACACGGAAGACTGCGTCGCCTTGCGGAAAGAGGTTGCTTACCTACTGAGAAACGGGTACCTGACGGAAATCATGACGGAGCAAACCAAATCCATGCTACATAGGAATCAGAAGTCGTCTGAGGATCGACGACGACCTCCCTCACCTACAGCCCCCCAAAAGGTAATCAATTTTATTAACGGTGGTTCTGATTTGTGTGGACTAACCTACTCTGCAGTGAAGAGACAGGCTCGGGAGTATTCCCGAGACAAGTCGTCACAGGTATGCCAAGCCATCCGACAGGAAGAGGCATGGAGAAATGCACCAGTCACATTCGACGAAACGGACTTGGCTAACCCAGGCGATGCACATCATGACACCTTGGTCATCGCTCTTAGGGTAGCAAACTGTGAAGTAAGACGAGTCTTGGTTGACAACGGCAGCACAGCCAACATCACCACGATGAAGACGTTGAAACAAATGGGATACAGAGAAGAAGACTTGACTGCTTCAGGATCCACCCTAGTTGGATTTAGTGGCGAGCCAAGTCGAACAATAGGTAATGTTTCTTTACCCGTACATGCAAGTGGTCTTAATTTGCAGGTAAAGTTCGATGTTGTCCAAGAACTGCCCGCTTACAACATGATCCTGGGAACACCTTGGCTACATCAAATGGGGGCAATCCCATCAACATACCATCAAGTAGTTAAATTTCCAACGCCATGGGGAGTGCAATCCATAAAAGGTGACAGAGTCTCTGCCAAGTCATGCTACCAAACGGCAATGAAGCCGACTGTCTCTGCTTCTACATCTGCATAGCAATTAAAGGGTGACCTCGTTCCGGTGGGAAAAGATGATGACAACACAAAAGATATCATTATTGATCCAAACCATCCGGATAGAGTCGTCCGCATTGGGGGCAACATGCCAACGCATCTGGAAGAAGAGCTCGTAGTTTTTCTGCAAGAACATAAAGACGTCTTCGCCTGGAGCCACGACGATATGACTGGAATTGACCCGCAAGTAATCACTCATAAGCTAAATGTCAACCCCTTGCACAAGCCAGTCAAACAGAAGAGACGACGATTCGCCAGGGAAAGGAATTCATACACATTACAATACCTACGAATACACCAAAGCATTATTTTGTATCCGAAGAACTCATTCTTAATACTACTCCGTATTATTTCCATCAAGGAATTCATTTCTGCCATTTGTTGATCCTAAATTGCTTGATTCCCATTTCTTTAGTTTAGTTAATTTTTCTTGTATAAACAATTTACTAGTTCAATCGTTCCACATATTGTTCTTCTTAGTTTCGTGTATTACAGTATTAGCACTTCAGTAGTTCAGTAGTCATTTTAAAAGTCCGATGTTGCGTCATGCACTGTGGTTGGTTTAAGATCGTCAGATGGAAGCACTCAAATTATGATGAGAAACTTTCAGTTTTGAATTATGATAGAGGTACATAACACTCTTCCATAAATTCGAAAAGTTTAGAAAAGAAAATTGAAATTTTTACACTTAGCTATCCCATTGAAAAGTTAGAAAAAAAAGCTCTACATGGGGGTTGAACTCCTAACATACAAAAGTTAGGCTACAAGGCATATGTGCAACTCCGTTTCCAACTTGCCAACACTGTATTTGTTGGTAAATTGGCTTTCTTTAGAATTATACCATTGCCTAACAACAATATATGTAATATACTACATATATATACTATTAATTTTGTTTTTTTTTTCAGGTTGGGCCTAGGCCCTCCCTGGCCTAAGGCCAGATCCGCCCCTGCCCACACGGCCACACTTGTGTAAGCTTGCACTCCACGGCGGCGGCTCGGGAGGGGGACGCGCCCGCCGTTCATCCGCCACAACTTCAACATCAGCTTTATTGAGATCAAGTTTTTCTTTCTCTGCGCAAATCGCCATCGTCTTGTATTTGTTCACAAAGCTTCCCATACCGAAAGGAGAAAACTCAAACGAAAATCCGAAACTCGTTTCCACCTCCATATCCGCCGACGAAGCGGGGCTGCAACGAGAAGACCCTACAGAGAACTCGACCGAGAGACGCCCTACTTTGCTCTCCTTCAACAACGAATCCTTCTTGTTGAATCCCAAATCAAAACGAAACAGAGCTCCGCAACCGCACCTTCTTCCAACCAATCCAAACGAAAGAACCGCCACTGGACAAACCCTAGGCCGACCGATGCGGTGGCTCTAGAGAGAGAAAAAGTCTCTCGACCTAACTAGTCTGTACTTTGTAAAGACAATTTTAGTGTGTCTTTTGAAAGTACTGAATTTAAGTATTCAACCACATGTCCGCAGTTTTAAGGGCCTCTTGAGTAACTATAAAGCACCGAAGTTATGACTAGAATAATCGAATTTTCTGAAATATGAAAAAATATTTAAAATATACAAGTACATTTTTAATGCATTAAACAAATATTTGTATATTTCAAAATATGATTGTCATGTTTTTATTTTTGAACTATCCAAAAAAATATTTTTATTTTTTAAATAAGGTAATTACTGTCACGTTTTAATAGTGATAGACTTTAAATTGACAATATATTTCATTCTTGATAATAATTATTTCTATTTAAAATAAAAAATATAACAACCTTATTTTAAAATTAGAGAGTTTCGTGAGTTGAATTGAAATCAGAAATTAAAACCGAACGGAGCTCGTCGGCGCACCTCTAAAATGGCTGGACGCACCCCTTTTCTTCCGCCATTGGACACATTTGTCCTTTTCGTTTCTTAGCCATTAATTTTGCAACGGAACTCCTTCATGTATCTTATACTCCGTATCTCTCCTTCACGTATCTAAATACTACGTACTCTGTATCTTGTACGGAGTATATTTGTAATGATTTTGTTGGTTTCATTTGCGTAATATTTGAATAGTACTCCCTCCGTCCCGCTAAGATTGTCCCATTTTACTTTTTCGGGAAGTCCCACTAAAATTGTCTCATACCATATTTGGTAAAGATTGTGTGACACTAAATCATTCTAACATTATTTATATTTATCAATTTAATATCAACCACACAAACATACTTTTCTTAATAATTGTGCACCTTCTCCCGTCCTGGGACGGAGGTAGTAGTTTTTTTCATTCATTTTATTTTGAGTATTGTCTTTGTTCTATTATTATCATATAACTATCATTAACATTATTTGAGATGCTTTTAATTATATTGGTTTTAACCACAAATCGAACTAGACTTGATCAGATCAAATCCGACCAGCTAAGACTAAATCAGACTTAAACAAACCAGGTCAAATAAGATTAGAAAATTTCAAATTTCAATCCAATTAAAAAATTTCTTATTGATATTATAATTATAAATTAGTGTCTCATACTAATCAAATTTCTTTCAAATTAATACTACCTCTGTTCTTAAATAAAGCAACCGTCAACATATCACATTTTCTCATGCACAATTTTGACAATTAATATATTTAATTTTCTATTATTAAAATATTAAAAAATTCAGATTTTGAAATTTTACAATGTGCCAAATTTAACAATATTTTTATTTAAAAATTAATACATTAATAAATAAAACATAGTCATAATAGAACATGTGAATAGTCTAAAATTCATTATGTTGCATTTATTTAAGAACATATAAAGTATGTATACTTCAAATTTCAATTGTATTTTCTTAGAAACAATCAATCTTATAACTAGACTTAGAAACAATCACTCTGAAGAACAATACAAATCGCTAACCACCAAACGGGTGTGACACAACAATCATTGACCATATAGATCCTTCTAACGACATAATATCTAGCTGAATTGTCAATTCTTATTGTAGTCTTAAAACTAAAGACATCAACAAAAAATAGAGCAACTCAAACAAACTTAACGCGAAAGTAAGACCATAAAAAATAAAAATAATTGACAAATATTCCAAGCTCCTTTCCTGTCAGTATTCTTGAAGTATCATCTTCCTAATCCTAGAACCTCGATCGCTCCAGTGCGGTGGTTCGAGAGGGGCGTGGAGGGCCGATATTATCAAATAGTTGGTATTATTAAAAACTATTTTCAAAGTATGTATTTTATTGGTTATGGGTGATGATTGTATTACTCCTTCCGTCTCTTAAAACTTTGTCAACTTTCATTTTTTTGGATGTTCCACTAACTTTGTCACTTTCCCTTTTAAGTAAAGAATTTGTGGTTTCAGTTAATTCTCTATCATCTACACAAACATCAACCACACAGTTTTTACTTTATTAATCACCGTGCCGGTCAAACTTGGCAAAGTTTTAAGGGACGGAGGTAGTATTATTTAAAGTGGTTATCTCATTTTTATTTTTTTATTATTATATGATTTGAAACAAAAACATCCATCGATAGAGTAATCATTTTCTTATTATCATACATATTATATTGGACTGGAGTATTCATTTTTTATAATTATTTGATTCAATGTCTAATTTTTGTTTTATATTTATACTACGTACATAGTTGAAACGAGGTAAGAAACTCCGCATTTCATAATCGTATAAGTGTAGTGTTTTTCCTATTATACTCCCGTGTAAGTATAAGGGGAATGATGCAAACTGCAATTGTCAAAGATGTGAATGCATTCTATCATAAAAAAATTAAGTAAGGACATTTAAGTCAAGGAGAGGTGCGCATCGCAATTTAGGAGGTGTACGAAAGGAGTGTTTGCAGTTGATTAAAAAAAGCACTTTTCAGCTTTTGACTTAAAAAAAGTTAAAAAGAGTGTTTTCAAATGAGAGCTTCTGCTAAAAACTTTTACTTTTTCGGAATCACTTTTTCCTCAAACACTACCAACTTTTACTATTAATCACTTTTCCCCAAATCACTTTAAAAAATCACTTTTTTAAAGTTGAAGCAATTACAAACACAAACCCCAAACCGAACGAACCCAATCACTGAATCACCCAAGGTTTCCATAGAGTTAACACCCACCCGACGGTTTTATTAGGTCACGGCTTCCCATAGCCAGAACTCCCACTTTCTATCACGCCCTACGCCCTGCCCTCGCAATTTTCCGGAGACTGCACGCAGACATGGCGGCGGAGGGAGAGGAACAGCCCCTGACTTACATGGATGAGGTTGTGCTGAAGAAGAGGAGAAACAATGAGGAGTGGGCCATACGAAGGAAGCATCAGCTGGAGCAGAAAGTCAGGAAGCTCAAATCTGATAGCTTCATCATCAAGAAGCCCGAACAGTTCATTAAAGAATATCGAGACAGGGTAAAAGAATTTGACCTAAGTCAGTACCTTAAATGTTTTCTGGTGTCTTATCCTGGGGCGGATCTAGCCCTTGGCCAGGGTGGGCCTAGGCCCCACCTCAAAAAAAATAAAATTACTAGTATATATATATTACTCCCTCCGTAACTTAAAAATCTTCTCACTTTCCTTTTTCGTCCGTAACACAAAAATCTTCCCATTTCTAAATCTTCCCATCATACCCTCAATAATTCTTAAAATAATACACTATTACAACTACTTTTTTTGAATTTATCCTACATTCCACCACATTATTCCACTATTTTCCCATCATACCCTCAATAATTCATATCATCTTTCACTATTCTTAATCTACCTACTTTTGAAATGTGAAGATTTTAAAGATACGGAGGGAGTATGTTATATATAATTCCTTTAGAATGATATAAAATTAAAAAAAAGGCAGTTAGCATATAGTTGATAGGTTGGCAAGATGGAAAAAGTTTAATGCACATGCCTTATATGTCGGGAGTTCGAAACTCATCAAGAGTTTTTTTTATTGATTTTTTTAATAGAGAGCATAGCTTACAAATTTCAATTTTCTTTCTTAAAATCTCTTTGTCCTTCACACGGAGTATCTATTTAAAACTAATCTTCTACGATCAAGTACTACAAGGCTATCACCAATTGATCTCAATTCTCAAATGTTAGATGAGCTACATGCTAATATTGTGAATGTTATTGGTCTTTTTGAATATTAGTCTGAAAAATCAATTTGTTCAATTCATTGGATTTGGTATGTGAAAATTAGTTCAATATGTATGAGTTTGAGGTGTTTTTTGCGTTCGACAGAGATTCTTATTCCTGTTATATTTATTTCGTCTTTGACATTTATGTTGAAATAGATTTTATTTTAAATATTTGAAAATAAATCTTGTCAAATAACATACTATTTTACTACATTTTGACTTTTCTTGTAATATACGTTATTTAATTAGATTTTGGCCCCACCTGAATGGCTATGCTGGATCCGCCCCTGGTCTTATCTGATGAGAAATTGTCTCCTTCATGGAATGTGTTGAAGGTTTTAAAATAAGCAGTGCACGTGGAGCTATTTACATTTGCTAAACTGTTTTTAGTCGTGTTTAAAAATTGCATATGTAATGCCATTTCTTCAATTGGTTGTTACTCCATAATCACAATTTTTACTTTCTAACTCCAAGTTTTCATTCTTCCATGGAAGTCAACAAATTTTTTAAGATGGATAGAAAGACAATATATGGATTATTTGTTAATTAGACTTGATTCATACAAGATTGGGTAGTCACAATCATCTTTTGTGTGATTCTAGCTTCAATTTTGGGTAGTATACTTGCTTCTAGTTTTTTAAATCAACTCCTATGTTACATGACCTATTTGATCTCAGTCTTGGAATGATTTTTGTTAGTATGCTGGGTGCAATGTCATAAAAAGCAGCCTAGGCAGGTGAAAGGTGGTCAGCCTCCTTGGTTCCAAAGCTGATGAGGGGGTCTGGCCTTTTATTTTTATTCTTGTAAACGAAATACAGAACTACTCTCTCTCCCTCTCTCTGAAACACATTTCACACACGATCTTTTAATGATTAATCAAATGTAAGTTAGTGTTTTTTTACATGACATGAACATAAAAATCATATTTAGTTGTTAGTTATTTGATTTTGAAAAAACTATGCATATTTACAATTTATTTTATACCTATTTCATGGTGGCACCTAGACAGTCCCATTTGTGGTGCCTTCTAACGCTTCCTATGTTGTCTATGTGCTTCTGTAAAGACACTGTTAGCATTTTCATGATGTAAGATATTCCCTTTATATATCTTATTATTCTCATTTTTTGTCAGGAGCTTGACCTAGTAAGAATGAAACAGAGGGTCAACAAATTTTTTAAGATGGATAGAAAGACAATATATGGATTATTTGTTAATTAGACTTGATTCATACGAGATTGGGTAGTCACAATCATCTTTTGTGTGATTCTAGCTTCAATTTTGGGTAGTATACTTGCTTCTAGTTTTTTAAATCAACTCCTATGTTACATGACCTATTTGATCTCAGTCTTGGAATGATTTTTGTTAGTATGCTGGGTGCAATGTCATAAAAAGCAGCCTAGGCAGGTGAAAGGTGGTCAGCCTCCTTGGTTCCAAAGCTGATGAGGGGGTCTGGCCTTTTATTTTTATTCTTGTAAACGAAATACACGAACTACTCTCTCTCCCTCTCTCTGAAACACATTTCACACACGATCTTTTAATGATTAATCAAATGTAAGTTAGTGTTTTTTTACATGACATGAACATAAAAATCATATTTAGTTGTTAGTTATTTGATTTTGAAAAAACTATGCATATTTACAATTTATTTTATACCTATTTCATGGTGGCACCTAGACAGTCCCATTTGTGGTGCCTTCTAACGCTTCCTATGTTGTCTATGTGCTTCTGTAAAGACACTGTTAGCATTTTCATGATGTAAGATATTCCCTTTATATATCTTATTATTCTCATTTTTTGTCAGGAGCTTGACCTAGTAAGAATGAAACAGAGGGTCAACAAATTTTTTAAGATGGATAGAAAGACAATATATGGATTATTTGTTAATTAGACTTGATTCATACGAGATTGGGTAGTCACAATCATCTTTTGTGTGATTCTAGCTTCAATTTTGGGTAGTATACTTGCTTCTAGTTTTTTAAATCAACTCCTATGTTACATGACCTATTTGATCTCAGTCTTGGAATGATTTTTGTTAGTATGCTGGGTGCAATGTCATAAAAAGCAGCCTAGGCAGGTGAAAGGTGGTCAGCCTCCTTGGTTCCAAAGCTGATGAGGGGGTCTGGCCTTTTATTTTTATTCTTGTAAACGAAATACACGAACTACTCTCTCTCCCTCTCTCTGAAACACATTTCACACACGATCTTTTAATGATTAATCAAATGTAAGTTAGTGTTTTTTTACATGACATGAACATAAAAATCATATTTAGTTGTTAGTTATTTGATTTTGAAAAAACTATGCATATTTACAATTTATTTTATACCTATTTCATGGTGGCACCTAGACAGTCCCATTTGTGGTGCCTTCTAACGCTTCCTATGTTGTCTATGTGCTTCTGTAAAGACACTGTTAGCATTTTCATGATGTAAGATATTCCCTTTATATATCTTATTATTCTCATTTTTTGTCAGGAGCTTGACCTAGTAAGAATGAAACAGAGGGTCAACAAATTTTTTAAGATGGATAGAAAGACAATATATGGATTATTTGTTAATTAGACTTGATTCATACGAGATTGGGTAGTCACAATCATCTTTTGTGTGATTCTAGCTTCAATTTTGGGTAGTATACTTGCTTCTAGTTTTTTAAATCAACTCCTATGTTACATGACCTATTTGATCTCAGTCTTGGAATGATTTTTGTTAGTATGCTGGGTGCAATGTCATAAAAAGCAGCCTAGGCAGGTGAAAGGTGGTCAGCCTCCTTGGTTCCAAAGCTGATGAGGGGGTCTGGCCTTTTATTTTTATTCTTGTAAACGAAATACACGAACTACTCTCTCTCCCTCTCTCTGAAACACATTTCACACACGATCTTTTAATGATTAATCAAATGTAAGTTAGTGTTTTTTTACATGACATGAACATAAAAATCATATTTAGTTGTTAGTTATTTGATTTTGAAAAAACTATGCATATTTACAATTTATTTTATACCTATTTCATGGTGGCACCTAGACAGTCCCATTTGTGGTGCCTTCTAACGCTTCCTATGTCGTCTATGTGCTTCTGTAAAGACACTGTTAGCATTTTCATGATGTAAGATATTCCCTTTATATATCTTATTATTCTCATTTTTTGTCAGGAGCTTGACCTAGTAAGAATGAAACAGAGGGTCAACAAATTTTTTAAGATGGATAGAAAGACAATATATGGATTATTTGTTAATTAGACTTGATTCATACGAGATTGGGTAGTCACAATCATCTTTTGTGTGATTCTAGCTTCAATTTTGGGTAGTATACTTGCTTCTAGTTTTTTAAATCAACTCCTATGTTACATGACCTATTTGATCTCAGTCTTGGAATGATTTTTGTTAGTATGCTGGGTGCAATGTCATAAAAAGCAGCCTAGGCAGGTGAAAGGTGGTCAGCCTCCTTGGTTCCAAAGCTGATGAGGGGGTCTGGCCTTTTATTTTTATTCTTGTAAACGAAATACACGAACTACTCTCTCTCCCTCTCTCTGAAACACATTTCACACACGATCTTTTAATGATTAATCAAATGTAAGTTAGTGTTTTTTTACATGACATGAACATAAAAATCATATTTAGTTGTTAGTTATTTGATTTTGAAAAAACTATGCATATTTACAATTTATTTTATACCTATTTCATGGTGGCACCTAGACAGTCCCATTTGTGGTGCCTTCTAACGCTTCCTATGTCGTCTATGTGCTTCTGTAAAGACACTGTTAGCATTTTCATGATGTAAGATATTCCCTTTATATATCTTATTATTCTCATTTTTTGTCAGGAGCTTGACCTAGTAAGAATGAAACAGAGGGTCAACAAATTTTTTAAGATGGATAGAAAGACAATATATGGATTATTTGTTAATTAGACTTGATTCATACGAGATTGGGTAGTCACAATCATCTTTTGTGTGATTCTAGCTTCAATTTTGGGTAGTATACTTGCTTCTAGTTTTTTAAATCAACTCCTATGTTACATGACCTATTTGATCTCAGTCTTGGAATGATTTTTGTTAGTATGCTGGGTGCAATGTCATAAAAAGCAGCCCAGGCAGGTGAAAGGTGGTCAGCCTCCTTGGTTCCAAAGCTGATGAGGGGGTCTGGCCTTTTATTTTTATTCTTGTAAACGAAATACACGAACTACTCTCTCTCCCTCTCTCTGAAACACATTTCACACACGATCTTTTAATGATTAATCAAATGTAAGTTAGTGTTTTTTTACATGACATGAACATAAAAATCATATTTAGTTGTTAGTTATTTGATTTTGAAAAAACTATGCATATTTACAATTTATTTTATACCTATTTCATGGTGGCACCTAGACAGTCCCATTTGTGGTGCCTTCTAACGCTTCCTATGTCGTCTATGTGCTTCTGTAAAGACACTGTTAGCATTTTCATGATGTAAGATATTCCCTTTATATATCTTATTATTCTCATTTTTTGTCAGGAGCTTGACCTAGTAAGAATGAAACAGAGGGTCAACAAATTTTTTAAGATGGATAGAAAGACAATATATGGATTATTTGTTAATTAGACTTGATTCATACGAGATTGGGTAGTCACAATCATCTTTTGTGTGATTCTAGCTTCAATTTTGGGTAGTATACTTGCTTCTAGTTTTTTAAATCAACTCCTATGTTACATGACCTATTTGATCTCAGTCTTGGAATGATTTTTGTTAGTATGCTGGGTGCAATGTCATAAAAAGCAGCCTAGGCAGGTGAAAGGTGGTCAGCCTCCTTGGTTCCAAAGCTGATGAGGGGGTCTGGCCTTTTATTTTTATTCTTGTAAACGAAATACACGAACTACTCTCTCTCCCTCTCTCTGAAACACATTTCACACACGATCTTTTAATGATTAATCAAATGTAAGTTAGTGTTTTTTTACATGACATGAACATAAAAATCATATTTAGTTGTTAGTTATTTGATTTTGAAAAAACTATGCATATTTACAATTTATTTTATACCTATTTCATGGTGGCACCTAGACAGTCCCATTTGTGGTGCCTTCTAACGCTTCCTATGTCGTCTATGTGCTTCTGTAAAGACACTGTTAGCATTTTCATGATGTAAGATATTCCCTTTATATATCTTATTATTCTCATTTTTTGTCAGGAGCTTGACCTAGTAAGAATGAAACAGAGGGTCAACAAATTTTTTAAGATGGATAGAAAGACAATATATGGATTATTTGTTAATTAGACTTGATTCATACGAGATTGGGTAGTCACAATCATCTTTTGTGTGATTCTAGCTTCAATTTTGGGTAGTATACTTGCTTCTAGTTTTTTAAATCAACTCCTATGTTACATGACCTATTTGATCTCAGTCTTGGAATGATTTTTGTTAGTATGCTGGGTGCAATGTCATAAAAAGCAGCCTAGGCAGGTGAAAGGTGGTCAGCCTCCTTGGTTCCAAAGCTGATGAGGGGGTCTGGCCTTTTATTTTTATTCTTGTAAACGAAATACACGAACTACTCTCTCTCCCTCTCTCTGAAACACATTTCACACACGATCTTTTAATGATTAATCAAATGTAAGTTAGTGTTTTTTTACATGACATGAACATAAAAATCATATTTAGTTGTTAGTTATTTGATTTTGAAAAAACTATGCATATTTACAATTTATTTTATACCTATTTCATGGTGGCACCTAGACAGTCCCATTTGTGGTGCCTTCTAACGCTTCCTATGTCGTCTATGTGCTTCTGTAAAGACACTGTTAGCATTTTCATGATGTAAGATATTCCCTTTATATATCTTATTATTCTCATTTTTTGTCAGGAGCTTGACCTAGTAAGAATGAAACAGAGGGTCAACAAATTTTTTAAGATGGATAGAAAGACAATATATGGATTATTTGTTAATTAGACTTGATTCATACGAGATTGGGTAGTCACAATCATCTTTTGTGTGATTCTAGCTTCAATTTTGGGTAGTATACTTGCTTCTAGTTTTTTAAATCAACTCCTATGTTACATGACCTATTTGATCTCAGTCTTGGAATGATTTTTGTTAGTATGCTGGGTGCAATGTCATAAAAAGCAGCCTAGGCAGGTGAAAGGTGGTCAGCCTCCTTGGTTCCAAAGCTGATGAGGGGGTCTGGCCTTTTATTTTTATTCTTGTAAACGAAATACACGAACTACTCTCTCTCCCTCTCTCTGAAACACATTTCACACACGATCTTTTAATGATTAATCAAATGTAAGTTAGTGTTTTTTTACATGACATGAACATAAAAATCATATTTAGTTGTTAGTTATTTGATTTTGAAAAAACTATGCATATTTACAATTTATTTTATACCTATTTCATGGTGGCACCTAGACAGTCCCATTTGTGGTGCCTTCTAACGCTTCCTATGTCGTCTATGTGCTTCTGTAAAGACACTGTTAGCATTTTCATGATGTAAGATATTCCCTTTATATATCTTATTATTCTCATTTTTTGTCAGGAGCTTGACCTAGTAAGAATGAAACAGAGGGTCAACAAATTTTTTAAGATGGATAGAAAGACAATATATGGATTATTTGTTAATTAGACTTGATTCATACGAGATTGGGTAGTCACAATCATCTTTTGTGTGATTCTAGCTTCAATTTTGGGTAGTATACTTGCTTCTAGTTTTTTAAATCAACTCCTATGTTACATGACCTATTTGATCTCAGTCTTGGAATGATTTTTGTTAGTATGCTGGGTGCAATGTCATAAAAAGCAGCCTAGGCAGGTGAAAGGTGGTCAGCCTCCTTGGTTCCAAAGCTGATGAGGGGGTCTGGCCTTTTATTTTTATTCTTGTAAACGAAATACACGAACTACTCTCTCTCCCTCTCTCTGAAACACATTTCACACACGATCTTTTAATGATTAATCAAATGTAAGTTAGTGTTTTTTTACATGACATGAACATAAAAATCATATTTAGTTGTTAGTTATTTGATTTTGAAAAAACTATGCATATTTACAATTTATTTTATACCTATTTCATGGTGGCACCTAGACAGTCCCATTTGTGGTGCCTTCTAACGCTTCCTATGTCGTCTATGTGCTTCTGTAAAGACACTGTTAGCATTTTCATGATGTAAGATATTCCCTTTATATATCTTATTATTCTCATTTTTTGTCAGGAGCTTGACCTAGTAAGAATGAAACAGAGGGTCAACAAATTTTTTAAGATGGATAGAAAGACAATATATGGATTATTTGTTAATTAGACTTGATTCATACGAGATTGGGTAGTCACAATCATCTTTTGTGTGATTCTAGCTTCAATTTTGGGTAGTATACTTGCTTCTAGTTTTTTAAATCAACTCCTATGTTACATGACCTATTTGATCTCAGTCTTGGAATGATTTTTGTTAGTATGCTGGGTGCAATGTCATAAAAAGCAGCCTAGGCAGGTGAAAGGTGGTCAGCCTCCTTGGTTCCAAAGCTGATGAGGGGGTCTGGCCTTTTATTTTTATTCTTGTAAACGAAATACATGAACTACTCTCTCTCCCTCTCTCTGAAACACATTTCACACACGATCTTTTAATGATTAATCAAATGTAAGTTAGTGTTTTTTTACATGACATGAACATAAAAATCATATTTAGTTGTTAGTTATTTGATTTTGAAAAAACTATGCATATTTACAATTTATTTTATACCTATTTCATGGTGGCACCTAGACAGTCCCATTTGTGGTGCCTTCTAACGCTTCCTATGTTGTCTATGTGCTTCTGTAAAGACACTGTTAGCATTTTCATGATGTAAGATATTCCCTTTATATATCTTATTATTCTCATTTTTTGTCAGGAGCTTGACCTAGTAAGAATGAAACAGAGAGGTAAAAGGAGATTACCAGCGTTCCCAATGTCCAAACTGCTTTTTGTCATACGTATTGGAGGGTGTGTTACCTATGTGTCTAGACAGTCTTTTATTTGCACTGCTTCTTTGTGGTTCTAACTTTGCGAATCATTCAGGAAAAATGATATGCATCCGAAAACACGAAAATATTTATACTCGCTGAGGCTGGGGAAAGTATTTGATGGGGTATTTCTGAAGGCTGATGAAAAATCATTAGGAATTTTGCAGAAGTTGGAGCCTTACATCACATATGGGTATGATGAGTTGATCTCCACATGCAGTACAAATAAGTAGCTGCATTACTTATTGTTTTGACTTTTGGTGGTTTTGGATGTCTTATTTTATCGGTGCCTTGAAGTAAAAAAAAAAAATTCGGGCAAGATATCTTATTGCTTGTTTGGAGGATAAAGGATAAATAAAACGAGAAATCATAACTCATTGCCAATGATGATTTATGAATATTGCATAAAGATTAACATATTGTGTGAAAATGATATTAATTACTATAATATGTAGGCTTTCAGGCATAATGATAATCATATACTCCCTTAGTCCCATTTTGTAAGATATCTTTCCTATTCATTTGGTCAACACAAATCACTCTTAATCTCTTATTTTATACTCCGTATATCATATTTTTAACAAATTTGATTCTGGTTTTTGCAACTTTGTAAAGCTTTTAATGTAGTTTCTGAATATGTAATTTTTTCTCTAAAAATAATTTGAGTACGGACAGGGATCCGTTTGCTTTATCATCGGTCAAACATTGTAAACCAAAAAATATCTTACAATTCAGGATGGAGGAGTAATAGTTTATCTCCTAAATATTATTTCTGTTATTTATCTTATTGATTGATAATTGACAAAGAAGTAAGGAGAAGTTACTTCTGCTCTCTCTATTTAAGAAGTTCACATCTGTTTTTTGAAGTTGGATATTCAGTAAGGGATTTTGCTGTGATTATATTGTATAATACTACACTTCTTTGTTTTTTGGAGACTAGTTTTGATGAGATATATTCTGTAACATTCATTTTTTGCACTAATAATTCACATGTTTTAACTGAAACAGCAAACATTTGACATATTTCCCCACTAATTTCTAACACTTTCATGATTGAAGATATCCTAATCTCAAGAGTGTGAGGGATCTGATTTTCAAGAAAGGGACTGGAAAAGTTGGCAAACAAAGAGTGCCTTTGACAGACAATAACATAATTGAACAGGTATTATCAGTTTATCAATCCATTGTGTGTTTCTGTTGCATTGCTTAAAATTCAGATCCAACAAAAAAGACTATGAATTCATCCGGTTTTCCATTGTTAGTAATTCTTTTAGTTTGGTTTATCTCCTCTTTTGATCTGATAACAGATTTTGTGCGCATGCCCTCCTTTCTTTCTTTTTATAAATTAATTACTTGCCCAGTTTGTGTGCATGACTATATGTGTACCGACCTAGTTTTGTATTCTCGGCAAGATAAAGTTAACATAGAAATTCCAATTTATAACAAGAAGCCTTCAGTAATGAAGCAGCAGTCAGTCTATGCAATTTTGGACGTGATTTTCACTATGGGTCATCCGGAAACAGTCTCTCTTTGCTTTAGTACAGGGTAAGACTGCGTACATCCGACCCCCCTTACCCCACCGTAGGTGGGAGCCTTTGTGGCACTGGGGTAAATGAAAATGAAATGATGATGAACAAGAAGCCTTCACATTTTAATTAGAAGTCTTAAAGCTAACTTGTTATCTTTATGGTAGTCTAGTACTCTAACCAAAAGCCTTAATATAGTCTTTCTGATTGTAGCCCGAAAGCCTTAATTTGTAATCATAATTTATGATAGTCTTAAAGCTCTGCGGCTAATGAAATTGAATTAGTTTACTTTGCCACCTCTCACTCCAACTTTACTAAATAATGAAACTATTAAGTATTAAAATCCTATACAACTCTCTTTAGATAAAATACACTTTTTACATGCTTATTACTATTAACTTAACTATACAACTAAAGTATTATGTACCCATACTTGTTACTATTTATTAATGTTTACAATGATTATAACATTTTATCAATTTATTGAGTGACTTTCATTCTTTGATTATACAACATTATTACGTTGTTTATTATTTTGTGCACTTTAGTTGAGACATATTGCAAGACTTAAACATATAATACATTATACATATAACAGCTTGACTTATAGTCTTAATTCTTAAACTTCTAATAATTTGACTTGTTAATGTTAAGTTGTAAGTTCCCTTTTATATATTATTTCTAGTAATTTATACTCCCTCAGTCCCATATAGAGGTTCCCCGGTTCGCGTTACGATGCTTGACTGATGATAAAGCAACTCGATGCCTGTTCACACTCAGATTATTTCTAGAAAATATAATTTACATATTCAGAAACTACATTGAAGTCGCTACAAAGCCTGATTAAAAAATATAAATTTCATAAAAAAATTGTATATATAGCAAAAGGTTAAGAATGATTTAAGTTGACCATGTGAATAGTGGACGAGAACCTTTAAATGGGATGGAGGGAGTATTTATTTCTCTTATAAAATTTTACGATTTACGAGTCGATTTTACGATTCGATTTTTGAATCCTTTTCTGATTCGATCTAAAACTATTATTTTAACAACCTTGATCTGTATTCTTAAGTTCCGTGAGGCGTGTGCCTTTGCTTCGTGCCTCAGCTAAATTTAACAAAAACACCTTGTTAGAGCCTCACGCCTTGTAAAACTATGGGAATAATAAAATTGGCATTGTATATTTTTGCTTAATCTATACGTCATGGTTTTGCATGACTAGTTGTATTATTATAAATTTTTATTTTTATTTTCTGTTCATTGAGTATTAAGCTATACTGTTTGTATGCTCTTGGGACTACGGATATTTGGCTTAGTTTGATATTTATGTAGTACTCCATATTTGTGCTTTTGGCGATCCTGCTTGCAATTGCAAAAATGTAGAAATCTAAAGTGATTAACGTTTTTTAAAACACAAAATTAGGAGAAACTGAAAAGATTAAATTTAATGCGCTTTTGACTTTTAACCAAATCAAACTTTTTAATTGGCTTCAGTTCAGGCTGTTTTAAAAGTTTGATCACTTCTTGGTATTGTGCTAATTGGCATTTTTTTAACATAAACATAAGTGCATAACATGTTGCATTTTCCGGCAGGCATTGGGTCAACATGGCATAATATGCCTAGAAGACATAATTAATGAGATTGCTAATGTTGGACCACATTTCAAGGATGTAAGTAGCTTTCTGTACCCCTTCCTTCTGAACAAGCCAGAAAAAGCATTGCAAGCAAAGAAGAAACGATATTCAGATGGGGGAGACTGTGGAAACCGTGAATGTCATATCAATGAGTTAATCAGTGAGATGAATTAGCATAAGCTGCGGTCTTTGTATGAGCTATCATATTTTGTTAAATGCAACATACACTTGTTATCTCATTCCTTGAGAAATGTATGATCTTAAGTTTATATTGTCGAAAAATTTCTCCAATTTTCAGCTCATTCTTATGTCATATTTCTACCCCCTCTTATGTAGGGGTGGCCTCGGGCCGGGCCGGGCCCGGTTCGGGCCTTGAACTGGCCGGGCCCCGGTTCACCAAATGGAAGGCCCGGACCCGAACCGGCGGTGACCGGTTCCGGGCCAGACCGGGCCGGTTCACCCGCCCTATTTTTTTTTTTTTTTGATTTTTTGGCTATCTTATTTAACTCCCTACCCCTCCCCTCAACCCCAAACCACCCCAAACCACCTCAAATGGTCCAAAATACTCAATCCAACCCAAAACATAAAAAAAATTCAAAAAAAAAAAATAAAAAAAAAATAATTCCGGCCTGAACCGGAACCGAACCGGCCGGGCCGGTTCACCAAAAGGAAGGCCCGGGCCTGGAACCGGTATCCACCGGGCCGGTTCGACTCAAACCGCCGGTGGATACCTGCACAAGCAATTGAGCTACATGCCTTCGCCCTTCACAAGTACCTTAATCTTGCATACTGCGGCGATGGGGTATGCCTCCATTACTTTTGATTATGGTTACACCCCTGGGCCCTGATCCCCAACATGATAGATTTTTATAGCCCCCCTTTCTGCTGGGTGGGTTAGAAGGCTGTTTTGTTTTTTGTTAGAGGTGATTGCTGTTGTGCTCCTGGCCCTGGTGGCGTGTGGTTGATCAGTTGATGTGTTGTGTAGGCCTTGATATGGTAGTTTTTGTTTTTGAAGGCTGCTGGGGATATGCCTCCATTACTTTTGTTTTTTTGTTGGTGTACAGGATGGTTCGCAGTAGGAATGGACTCTGGGTTGATCAGTCTTGGGCCTAGACTCCAAATTTTATTAAAGACCAGGCATGAGCCAGTTATTTCTGGTTATGAGCCGGTTCCGGCCTTCCGGGTACCCAATCAGTCCCGGTCGTGCTTCTCGACCCGGTTCCGGACTTCCGGGTACCTAGGGGTGGACTGGGGCCGGGTGGCTCGACCCGGAACCGGCCCGAACCGCTGCCCGGCGAGGGACCGGTCCGGGTTGGCCCGACCCGGGGGTTTTCGGTCCGGGCTCAGGTCACCCAAAACACGAGCCGGCCCGGCAGGTCCGGGCTCGGTTCTGTGCTATTTTTTTTTCAATTTTTTTAATTCCCCGGGCCATTTGGGGTGGTTTGGGGGGTTGGGGTGAGGGGGTCGGGGTTAATTACAAAAAGGAAAAAAAATAGATATTGGCCCGAGGTCCGGCCCGACCCGGACCCGGGGGATACCCGGGCCGGTCCCGGGCCTACCCCCAACAACAAAACGCCCGACCGGGCCTAGGCCCGGCCCGGGCCCGAACTGGTCCGGGTTCTGGACCCGTTTCTGCCAATTTTTTTGCCTGGGTCCAAGGCTAAAACCAACAAAAGTAAACAAAATTATTTTTTTGCTTGTCAGTACCGAAATCGGGGATGCCCGGTTTGGTTCCAAAATCAGTGAAATTGGGATTGGGTACCAGTGTACCACCATGGCCGGATATGGTCGGCCACTCGGCCCAAGGCCTGAAACCAAGAAAAATGGACCTGGTCTGGGACTATGGGCCCAAACAGTACTGAACCTGATTCCAAACTGGGGCGGGCCGATGGACTTGGGAGGTCGCTCTTTAAATGGTGTGGGGCAGGTTTTTTGCTGCTTAGAATCTTCGAAGTTGGAAGTTTGGGGAATGCCCATTTATGCTGCACATATTGGCCATACTGTATGGCCAATACATATCAATGTCCATATCATCTAAAAGATACAAATGTGCGAGTAGTATATACTTCCTACTACATAAATAACTACTCCCTTGTTCCTCCGCTTCTAAATAAACTTCATACTTTCCTTTTTGGTTAGGTCTAAAATAAACTTCACACTTCTATTTTTGACACCTTTTTACTATAAAATTACCCCTATATCCTTACTTTATTACCTACTTTAAACTCATTTTCCCTCTCTCAGTACACTTTAATCAACTTTTTGCAGTGGTATGGTAGGAAAGTCAAAATAAAAAATTTCACTTTTAAAAAATCGTAAAGTCAAATCATGAAGATTATTTAGGAACATAGAACAAAAATGATTAGAAGCTATTCCAAATCTACTCACTCAAATCATCAAAAGCTTTTACCAAAAGACTCTATTATGCTTTTTGATAGTTTAATACTCGCTTTGTTTTGATTCAAGGTTTTCACTTGCCTCGTATTGTCTTGTAGACATTTCATTACTTCATACTCGGTATAATAGTTTTGATTTCCAATGTAGGAAATAATTAGCTCTCCTAATTCCTAAATGTCAGTTTGTATTAAAACTAATACATCCATAATAACTTCATCATCATCAATCATCTCATTGAATCATGTACTTGTTCAAATTACTTTCAAACTGTACTCAAATTTATATATAGGTTAAGCGATCTGATTTAAAGCTTAAAAGTAGCTTGTTAATTATACTACATATTTGTTATATACTCCGTATTTGATTATCATTTGAGCAGTTGAGATGTGAAGTATCTATTTTTGCAGAATTTATTACTACCTCCGTTCTTAAATAAGTGCAATAGTCAACATTTCACACTTGCCGAGATACAACTTTGACAATTAATATATATTACTCTCTGTTAGTAAAAAATTAAAAAAAATCAGATTATGAAAATTTACAATGAGACAAATTTAGTAATATTTTTTTCAAAAAAAATATTAATACATCAATAAATAAAATGTAGTCAAAGTAGAACAAGTGAATAGTGTAAAATTTGCAATGTTGCACTTATTTAAGAACGGAGGTAGTATTACTGTAATCTCTAATACTTGGTACTGTTTAAATGTTTTTCCAATATCAAATGACGTTTGGACATATTTTTAAAAAAATACTACAAACAGACAAATTTTAAAATATGATTTTTTGCCGCTATCAGTCCTTATTGCCTCGGTGAAACGTGGATGCAGTAGGAAAGGTTGTTTTGGACCTCTCTGTAAATCCACATTTAGGCCTTTAGGGTAGGGGTTTGATCCATCTCGTTTTTACTGTAACAAAGGTAGCGCAAAAAACTGGGCTGGTCAGCAAACCCCCAAAAGATTTACTCAAACCTAAAAATCTAAAAACATATTCCTTCCACAATGGAAACATTTCCTGAAAAATTCTCACCTAAAACCATTAGGGGTGTGGAAGCTATTATTGTGAAGTTGCCAAGCTGCATCTTTGACTTCTTTCTAAAGAGGCAGTAGCCTAAATGTCGTTTATTATTTTTCTCCTCAAGAAGATGAGGAATGTATCCAAGAATGGGTTCAAAATCGGATATTGCACCCCTAGAGAAGAGCCTTATGTGGATATAAACCGGTCTCAATTTGTCACATGAGAAATAATGTCTATTAAGTTCGAAGTTGATTGTTAAAATTCTTTTTGAGCATCATTTAATTTAAAAGCATAAACAATACCTTAAATATTGGCTGCATTTTTGTACCTTAACTCTTAAATGAAATAAATCAATATCATACGTTTACGTAAATGTTCAACCCAGTAGCACTGTTCTAATTTCTGCCAAAAAAAATCATGCTTGGAAATCCAAATTCCATGCAGAGTCTACCGTACAATGATAACATGGACAAATGTATCGTAAATGGACTTTACACATGGAATTCTAACACTATCAATTTGGCCGAATAATTTAATAATATTCTCGATACAAACATTTATGTATAATTATGGTATTGATTTAATCCATTTAAGAGTTAAATGTAGTGTTTTATGTATACCACTCTGTTTCATTATGGTTAGTTTTATTGGGCAAGGCTAGCTTGCTGTTGTTTCATTAATGAGTTTTTAATACAATGTATCATGTATGTATATTATATTTCACCGAGAGATCAAGAGCACTTTGTACTTAATAGCTTTATCACATACTCATGTCATATTGGTGTCGAAATAAGGTATGATTACAGTTCTTCCTTCACGTACCGTCTTTCTATATCACTATTGAAATAAACTTGTGAAATGACTCAAATGAGTCATTACACTTTCAAATGCCAATTCACAAATAGGCTCTTGGGACATTTGTTAACTTCAATTACTTGCATACTGAGTAGTGACTATTAAGGGATCCTTAACGGTTGGACGCTGTGAATTATAGAAATATCGGTTAAAAGTTTCTAAGCACAAAATGTTGAAAATTATTCTACATTTACTTGGATTTATTCCATGAAATATAAATCTCTTGAGGCTTATAGAAACTGAAAAGGCTTATATGAAATAACCCCTTGTTTTGTGCACCATGATTATCCAAACATGCATGTTCCTATCTTCTCATGACGTCTCTCTATTGTTTAAAGCAATTTCCCAGTATTGCTTTTATTATAGTTTTATTGTCTTAGTAACTACATTGATTTTCTCTTTTCTCTTAGTATCACATAAATCCATAAGTTTTTTATCCATAGAAACATCATTAATACCCCCGGCTGGCCGGCCATCCTTGAATTGCTCGTGTAGGATTGTAGGAAGAAGCTGTTACACTAGTAATAATTAAATATAAATTCTTCTGTATGGTGGTTTCATTTACACATATATTCATTAATGGAGGAATATAAATATACTAGGGGATGAAGAATTGACCGACAAATAGTCATGAGTTAGTTAGGGACCGACCGGATGCAGTGTGAGGGACAGGAGTTCCATGCATGGAGTGCGTGTCAAGTTTGCCTCGGAAATGATCGTAGGTTACACTTCACTTCCTCACCTCCCTCACTTTCATGACCGATCCATTCAATTTAATATTCATCATTTTATCCCTAAAATAGCAAATTATATAATACTCATATCTATGACTTCACCCTTTTATTTTTGCTCCCAAAAGCAAACAAATAAAAAAACATAAACAAAGCGAGGCATTAATTAATTATTGCGTTAAATCTCTCCCTCCCACGTTTTGCGTTACATCTAATCATGTATATATGCATGAAACATGGACGTCCCCATCCCTCCCTATGGGTATTCAAGGTACAAAATATTTATAAATTAATTGTGTATTAAAAACACCCTGTCTTAGTATAATTAAGGAAGTGACACGTTTATTAAGAAAATTGGGTGATACTGTAATAGAGTATATAAACTCGGAACCGTAGGTCTCACGATTATTACAACTGCGCAGCGGCCCACACACGCTTATTGGATGTCATTTGTATTTTGTATTATTGTACATTTCATATATAATTTGTATGTACTAGATTAGTCTTTTATGTAGTTGAGCCTGTCGAGCCCATATTAGCGTCTCCACCCATTGTTTCTCTATTTATACTTCCCGTGGGAGGCCTTGTAAACCTAATTCCATATTCACACAATACACATTCTTCTTCTCCACTTGTTTAGCTCAATAATCTCTCATATTTTATTATAGTTTGGATTCCTATTATCCACCAGTGAGTTTATGTGGATCATATTGAATTGATAAAGTAAAAACGATTTAGAATCACACAAAATTTACCAAATTGGGCATGACACAACATTACTGGGACAGACCGAAAAGAAAGATGTGACAATCTTAGTGGGAAGAGAAGGAGTATATAGAAGTAATTAAACTTTCTCTTATCATTTTCACTATGCTAGACGAGTAGACGCCGCTCCCAAATACAACAACACTGCAATGGGTAAACCAAGGCTCCTCTTCACCCGTAAAAGTATGGTTGTATGCAGGGCCGGTCCCGAGGAAACGGAGGCCCTGTGCAATAAAAAAAAATGGGCTCTTTTCTAATATAAACACACATATAATATGAATATAAATTAGCCTTAATCATATTAGTAATAATTTACTATTAAAAATAATTCTATTTAGATTGAATTTTTTTATTATCGTCTGATTTGGGTTAGTGCGTTTATTCTGATCTGATCGGGAAGATGTCTGGTCTCTGTGTATTTTATAACGTAACTATACAAGTCCGATATTATCTTGTCTGACCTGATCTGGTTTGAGACTGAAATAAGTTCAAACAGAAACATCCTGATTTATATCAAGTATGAGTTATTATTGAATAAAATATTCAACATATATTCAACATATACAAGCATCCGTTAACAAAATACATTTCACTTAAAAGAAACATCTTTAGAGCATATTTTAGTAATCTTTTATAGTGCAAAAACTAAAAAATTGACAGCCTTATGACCTCATAATATACGTATAAGCTCTAGGCCGGACCTAATAATATACAGTACTATGTATATTGATAATTTAAATTGAAAAATTAAGAATTCTAAAAGTACTACATGCGGAGTACTTGATTTTATCAATTTTAATAGACTTACGGGTTGTGGTCTTGTGGACTTGTGTTAGTTGTGTCCTTGTGTAAGCTCTAGGCCGGCCGTGGCTTGGGTACATTAATGCTTTACAATTTAAATGGGCCGAGGAATTGGTGCAACGGTGCTACGAGAATACGGGACCAAGAGTAATGGCAGGAGTTTGGTTGATATTTTACATTGGGCTCTAATAATTCTACTACTAATATTTTTATTTTTTTGGGCCTTCACTTATGCTGGGCCCTGTGCGGTTGGGCCGCCAGCACATGCTTTGGGCCGGCCCTGGTTGTATGAACTATTAGTTTACTACTCCGTATATAAGATCTTGAGTTAGGGGCGGACCCAGTAAATCTATCTTGGGGGGTTTAAAATAATTTTTTTGGAGGTGAAAATTATTTTTTGAGAGGGCGAAAATTACTTTTTCGTATATATACCCTAAAAGATTTTTTGTTGAAGAGCGGTAGTCCCTGTGGGTCTCTACTAGGGTCCGCCCGTGAAATTCCGAATTGCTCATAGTATCAAAGTTTGACCAATTCATATGGATGATGTGAGCCCGGGATATATAAAACTCTTGAACTTATGGTTCTGTTCTAAAGGGCCAATATGATATACTCGGTTCGCGAAAAGTATTTTTATTATTATTCTTCATAAAACTAATGGAATACGTAGTATAATTAAGACAGAATCACGTCATGTATGACTAGAATTTTTCATGTTTTCCAACAGGGGCGTAAACAGAATTAAAAGTTTGGGTGAGTCGATACAAAAAATATTTTCAGATGCATTTTACACACTGAGTATAAAATATAGGCATTTTTCAAATTTGGTGTGGTCTCAGAGACGTGGTTAGCCCCCCCTACAGCCTAGTTCTCAAAATTTAATTCACATTTTTTTTCTAATATGATTGCATATGACATGCAGTAATATCATCTTTCGTATTTCCTTATCCAGTTTCATATGTGCTCGACCATATTTTGAGAAAGCTACGAATCACTCACAGTCATATTTGTGAGTGTCATGAGTTTTATTATTCTTATAAATATGCATGTTCCCATTAAAAATCAGGCAGAGAGTACGCGATACACAATAATTAAGTAGCATCATAAATATGCAATATAATTGATAAACATAAAAAAAAACAATTTTACCCGTACAACTTACTGATGATATCTATATACGGACCTGTAATTTAGTACACCGTATTACGGAGTATTAAATTAGTAACTATGACACAACAAACAATGAGGGTGTTTGATAAATGGTGTTTTAGTCAAAAAATGGTGATTTGATCATTTTTGGCGTTTTCGATGAGTGAAAACGTTGTTTGGTAAATAGCGGTTCGGCACTAGCGTTTTTGGACGGAACTGCTGAAATGAAAACGCTGCAAATAAGAGAGTTTTGGGTTAGCGTTTTGAAAAATGACGTTTTATGACCAATTATATGACCAAACAGCTAAATTAACAACCCGTTAACGTAATCAGCTATCCGCTAACCGCTAAATGCCAAACACACCCAATATGAGTACGTACATAAAGTATGATTTAAAATTTGCTAAAATATTAAAGTATCTATATAAGTTAATTATTGGTGAATAAGGGATATAGATTATAGGACCAAAATATACACTAAATTAAAAATAGGACTAGATATACTGTATTCACCAAATAGGGATTATTTAATCTTATTAAAAGAATATATAAAGTGATTAAAACTTCTTAAAATAAGAGTGAATGTGTCTCATTTTACAAATGAAGCATTGATAGTCTTTTTTCTTCTTTTTTTTTACTCCAGGTAGGTCTGGGGGAGGGGTGCTGGGGGGCCCTGGAGTAATCAGGGCTGAAACCCACTCCATTGAGTTTCGAACCCTTATGTGCCTAGCGGGTTTTGAACTTGAGACCTCTCACTAGGCACGGTACGTCGGTAACCTCACAATCAGGGCTGGAATGCTTGGTTATGAAGCATTGATAGTCCTATTAAGAGTTGATTATACTCCCTCCGTCCCAAAATTATCTTCATTCTTTCCATTTCGATCCGTCCCAAATTTATCTCATCTTTTCCTTTTTGACAAAGAATTTGTGGTTCACAGCCATTCTTACACATTTCTCTCTCCTCTGCACAACTTTCCACCACACATTTCCCACTATATTAAAACTTGTGCCCAGTCAAAATCGAAGTTAATTCTGGGACGGAGGGAGTATGAATTTTGCTTCGTTTTTTATCGATTTGCAATTCCGTTCACTTTGAAATTGATGGAAAGAACGCAAAACACAAATTATATCATGTTTCGATATGATTCGTTTCAGTTTAGTTCAGCTCAGTTTCGATTTATTTTTGTAATAATATATTTAGATTTTGTTGATTTTTTCAATTCTATTCGAATTTATATTCATTTTTCTCAATTTCGGTTCCGTTCAGTCAACAACGATTTGGAAGAAGTACCACCAAATTCAAATTGAACTGCATATGATTTGGTTTCAATCTGTTTTGGTGAGATTCTATTTGGATAAAAATCGCCCGATATATCTTAACAAGAATAATAATTTCCTTTCAATAATAATTCAGAGTAATTAACACTGTCACATTTTGGGGGAAATTATGCTCGGTCCCTAAATTTTGTTCCATAGTACAAATGACACGAGAATTAAGATAGTGGGTATTGTGTGGTGGAGAGTTATGCAGGGGAGAGAGACATGTGTAAGAATTGATGTGAATCACAATTTTTTATTAAAAAGGGAAAATAGAGTTTATTTTAGGAGTCCAAAAAGAAACAGAGTAACTTTTGCATTCGTGGGAGTATGTATGCAAATTATATAGTCCATCAATGCCTAATTTGCTTTCGTGGGAGTATGTATACAAATTATATAGTCCATCAATGCCTAATTTGCTTTCGTGGGAGTATGTATACAAATTATGTAGTCCATCAATGTCTAATAGCAATCATTGATCAAGGAAACTGAATACGGTAGGTAGGTCGGTAGTCAGTAGTCTTTTTGTGGAACACAAGAAGGAACAAATGAGGATAATAGTAGCAATTCATATTGGTGCATTCATGTTACTTTTATTTGCTCTAAACAAAGCACCGCCTAACATTTTCACTTTTTTTTTTGTATGTGTAAGTCAAAATTAATTAAACTAATTTTTATGGAACTGAGTAAATATTATACTCCATCCATATTGAAACGTTTGCTACATTACTGAGTAAATATTATACTCCATCCATATTGAAACGTTTGCTACATTTTTGAAACGTTTGCTACATTTTCATTTTGGCATGTATTTTAATTTTTGCTATACATACTCTATTTGTAAGTTTTCTTTTAAAACATAAACAAATTTCATTATTTTCTACTTTTTATCTCCTCTTTCATATTTTCCTACCATATCTCATATTTTTCTAAATTATTCATTACTCATACTTATTCCTTAAATATAATGTCAAGCTCAATTGGAATTCAAGGATGGAGTATTTAATTACAGCTTTTGAAAAGAGTTCAATTCCTCTCTAATGCAACTGTGTTTGATGTTATAGGTGATGATGATTGGTGCTACTATCCGGCATTGCCATTTCAACAACTACAAATCTACAACACTTATCTACAACAACGGTCTCAAATTTACTTGAGCCATTTGGTAATCACAATGAGAGTATTTAATCAATACGTACTCCGCATCAAATTATGAAAAGAGTGAAAAATTTGTTCACTTTTAAGAACAAATATTACACTTTTAAGATACAGCATTTACCCGCCAACAAAGGAAACCAGAAATAAACATGGTCATCCTTGTCTGTCAAATCCCCATTCTCACTCTTTTTATCTTTTCCTTTCAGTGGTGAAGGAGAGATCTTTCCAGAACTTTGTTTGTCCTTGTTCCTTGAAGAGCCAAGTCCTCCTTCAGCAAGTTTAGCCGCACAAAAACGTAAAAATGCAATGGCATTAAGACTAACATCCTTGTTGAACCTAGTATTAGTGAATGCAATAAGACAATTAACACAATCTGTGAAAGTTGTGCTTTCAGCCTCAGTAATGTATGGGAAGTAATCTCGTACGATCTTTTCTGTTATTTCAAAAGCCAGCAGAACAATGTTTTTATGATCATCATAAGCAGCTGTAGTAAATACCTGAAAACATTCAGATAATAACACTTAGTGAATAACTAAGGAACAAAATAGTCAACCAGTCAATGCAATTAGTTTCTTCCGGAAGAAAAAAGGGTACTCCCTCCCGTAGAAAGGTTCACACTTTTCTTTTTTGGACGTCCCATATAAAGGTTCTCATTTCTATTTTAGGAAACAATTTACAATTATAAATGACAATTTAATCATTAAATATTAAAAAATAACATCACAGTTATCAATACTAACCCCATTATATTACATATCTATTAAAACTATTTCTCAAAATATACTCGAATTACCTTATTTAATTATTGTCTAAATAATCGTGTCGTTTTGTCATGGGAACCTTCCAACAGGATGGAGGTAGTACCAAATAAAATTGTACATAATATATATGTGTATATATAATTAGAACATAAGTGTGTGTGTGTGTGTGTGTGTGTATATATATATGGATATATATTACATATTTACATAATATATTGGAAGGGACCTAGTGAGAACCCCTTTTAAAATGAGAACTTATGTATTTGAACTTAGGTTTGTGTGTTGTATGTGTATATATGTGTTGAAACCCTGAACCCTTATTAGGCTCAGCCCACTTTATGTAGGTAACCCTAATTGTACCCTAGTTATAGCTATAAATATCATTAAATAAGAATGAGAATTTGAGTCATATATGTTTCAAATGAGAGTAGGGCTGGGGTCCGAAAAAACGAAAACCGAATCAAATTAAACCAAACCGCAGCCAAATAAAACCGAACCGCTAAAAAACCAAACCCAATGTAAAAAAACCGAACCAAACCGTAGTTGTTTGGTTTTGGTTTTTACCCTTCAAAACCGTTGAAAAAAGTTATGAATGTATACAGTCACAAACAATGTAAATTAATAATATATACACTTTTATCGCTCTCGCATACTCATATGATTCAAGTCATATTTATTTCTTCTCATTTTTATTTTATTTGTTCTAGTGTGCTTGCACTCTTTATGTAATATGTTTGATCCCTCTAACTATTATATCAATTTTAAATCAAATGACAATTTTTGGGTAAAAAACGAAAAACCGAAACCAAACCGAAACAATCAAACCGTGGTTCCAAGTTTTAGTGTAAAACCGAACTGAAATTGAACCGAACTTTTTACATTTTACACATTTTATTTGACAAAATCTATACATATAAGCGCCAAGAAAAGTATTTTAAAAGAGATGGGGAAAAACGGCAAGATTTATTCAAGAAAGGTGTTGACATATTATTCAAAAGATGCAAAAAGGAGGGATAAGTAAGACTTCAATACCATGAACATGCTCTTCCATCCCGACTTCACATTGTTAACGCGAGATAAAATCATTTGTGAAACACATCTGATTATCAATTCTCTGATTTCAACGGCTCTGCTCTTACGCATAACAATCACAAATGGTTTCATGAACTCATTCTGAAAATTATAATTAGCCAGTTCCTCTCGGTCTAAAAACTTCATTGACAACTGGCGTAATAAATCCATTGCATATATGGCAATTGAAAGATTTTCGGAACAGCCAATGGTCACAAAGAAATCAGAGAGTACGAGCCAGATTTTTGACCAAACAAGCCTGATGCGATTCATGTTGTAGTGTCTGTTAAAGATAAAAAGAATGTTTACCAAAACCCATAAATCAATCAAATCAACCTATGGAGAGGCAGGAGAGCACTGATATAGAGGATAAATTATAAAAACTTACGCAATCTCAACAATCTTTGTGAGGCTGAAAACCCTTGGATCTGATGTTGACTTCAATTCTTCTATAGAAACCTTACACAAAGCCTTGACAAAGTCCACCATAGCCTCACTGTTCAATTTTTGACTCCTAAAGAATATGTGGCTCATTTCACCAACTTGTTCCAACATGTTTAAGTTGGAGACTAAATTGTTCATCTGTTCTGTTGTAATACCAGAGACAGCACTGCCGCTAACACCTGCACTGTCATAAGAACCCCTTCTCACAGCAGAAGCTGCATTTTGAATACTTCCAGGTCCTTTCTTTTTCAGAACAGGAAGAATATTTGATTTGGCTTGTTTTGACTTGCCAAACTCATTCTGAGGAAGTGCAAAGAAAGCAGCATCAGGGGGTGCACCTTCCCCCAATAGATGCAAATGTTCAAACTGAGAAACACAGGTCAAGATATGCTCCCATGCCTCCTGTAAGTAATTTCCATCCTCATCCGCAATTATTAGGATAGCCTGTCTCACACCCACAAATGTGTTGCCTATTAGCTATTAAGTTTTTTATAGTTTAATAACACTTGATTTTACTGATTTGAATGAATTTGCTTGAGAGAAACTACTCTCAGCTGATCTCTATATATAAGGTTCAGAATTACAACTTACAAGGAAAGAATCAAATGTACATCTATCAATTACTAAGTCCTGATTTGATACAATCTGTACAATTAATGCTAAAATCAGGAAAGATATCATTTAGAATCTAAGTAGCACCGGGACGGAAACGGGGACGGAAACGGGGACGGAAACGGGGACGGAAACGGGGACGGGGAAACCCTAAACTCAAAATATCAAGATACGGGTACGGCAAGGAAACGTCGAACTAAAAATTAAAATTTTACTAGTATAAGTAATGTTTACATCCAACAAGTACAAAATAATCCAACAAAACATATGTCTTTGTTATAATGCATCATACATGCATAATAAATAAAACGAAAAAGTAAATGTTTCATTCAGTGATCAACACACTCTCCAATTCTGGCTCATCTAAGGATAAATTAGCAAGCGCCAAATAGCCCATATCCTCCAAATTGCCAAACTCATCTCCTCCAACATCCCACATCTTCGTCTTCTCATCTGTGTACTGCTCAGAACTCCTTGACAAGAGTCAGAGGTTGTTGTGCACAAACACCAAATCCTCTGCACGTTTAGGAGTTAATTTGTTCCGTCTAAGTGAATGAATAAAAGAGTAGGTACTCCAATTACGTTCACAAGCTGATGAAGATGTAGGTTGGCCAAGAACTCTAAAAGCAAGCGATTGGAGGATTGGTGTTTGAGCACCAAAGTTAGCCCACCAACTTCTAGGCTCTGTGTTTCCCCTCTTCGAAAGAGATTTAATATCAGCAAAAGGCCCTGTCTTAAGTGAAAACGAAGCAAACTCATCCAAAACTTTGTCATAATCATCACCATTTGGATATAGCCTTCGGAAGCATTTCATCCTTTCTTGGGAGATCTCACCATCTCTATGAGGAGGGACCCTAGCGGGATCCGCATCAAGCCAAACTTCACTGTAAAACCTATTAAAAAATAAGAAACACCAAACTTTAATAATTAACTAATTAATTAAATAAATAAAATAATATATAATGTGTAACTAATAATGAATACCTTGGGTTCAATGAGTGTGCTAGACAGTGAAGTGGCGTAGAGCTCTTCCCCCAACGTGCCACAAGAATGCCATATACTACTTTGAAGAAAGCACTATCTTCATAAACAGATATTCCTTCATGCTTATAGATTTCAACTTTGACTTTTTCAATCATGGAATCCCACATCTCATACACCAAATGAAGACATGCCTTATCAGTATCACATGCTCGAATCATACTGTAGATAGGATCGGAGAAAGCTAGAATATAATCAATTTGATCCCACCAATACTCACTTAAAATCTTCTCCCTCACAAACCTTGCTTTTCCTTGGTCATCCTCACGGTATGATGCCCATTCATCACTCAACACCATAGCCTCAAGACCACGTCTAATAAGCTTAAACCTCTTAAGCATCACAATTATAGAAGCAAAGCGGGTGTCCGCCACAGAAAGTAATTTAAGTGACATGAACTTGTTGAACATGGATAACACCATAGTATGATTCATGATGAATTTTTTATATGAATAGCATCACCATGGATTTCAGTGATCCAATGACATTCATCATAAACTTCTGTGTTGCTCTCCACATTCCTTGCGGCACATATGTTCTTTAAAGCAAGATTTAATGTATGCACAACACAAGGTGTCCAATAAATGTGGGGGTACATACCTTCAATTATTTCTCCTGCACCTTTGCAATTTGAAGCATTATCAGTGATCACCTGCACCACATTTTGATGACCTATCTCATCAATTACTTCTTTCATCAAGTTAGCAATGAATTCTTTTGATTTAAATTCACCCATACAATTCACTGCTTTAAGAAACATGGGACCACTTCCAGAAGTTGCCATAAAATTAATTATAGGTCTTCTTTGAGGGTCACTCCAACCATCAGTCGCAATAGCCACTCCTCTTTCTGGCCAAGTAGCTTTTAGTGGTTGCAATAATCTTTCAACATTGGCCTTCTCTTGTTGAAGTAAAGTAGTCCTCAATTTATTGTAGCCCGGAGGAACATAACCACCTAAATTGTGATTTGCAGCAAAAGAAAACGCTCTCACATAATATGGATTCCTAGCCAGATTAAATGGCAACCCTCCTGTAAAAAACATCCTACCAATTTCTTCATCTAATCTCGCTCTAGCATCCATATCAAAAGCTTTCTCTAAAGGACCACTACTAGCTTTTCTTTTATTAGGTAAACTAGTGTTACCTATCCAATCCATCTGTGACCCCGCCATAGGTAGAGGAACATCTCTAGGTGCAACACTTTTTTTAATTTTATCAAGTTCTTCTTCTAACTTTCTCATCTCCCGCAAATCATTAGACTGGACTTTCTTACAAATAGCAATTCCTTGCTTTGAAATTTGAAGCAAATGAGCTCTTACTCTAGAATAAGATCCCTGCTTAACGTCATTACAAAAATTACATTTAAATTTCCATGTCCCTCCCGTATCACCACTTTTACCTAATTTGGTAACGTATTTCCATAAAGGGGCGTTATCCACACCTGCAGAAGAATTCACTGACCCACTTGCACCATCACTAGAAACACTACCAGTACCTTCCATAATTAATGCTAAATATAGGAGCACTTACTCGGACTCAGAGTCTCAAAAAATAGGAGCACAGAGCACTTACTCAGACCCAAAAGTCAAAACAATAGATTTAAGGCAGAGCTCCTTTAAAAAGTAATCCACAGCCGTCCAGTGTAGAACCAACGCAAGAAGCAGCACCGCAGCAGAACTCCAGCGCGTTCCAGATTTCCAGTCTGCGTCTCCCTTCGTCGCTTCAACAGTCTACAAGTTCCAGAGAGGATAAAGATCGCAAGGCAGCTCCAGCGAACTGGGCAGGTTATTTTCTAAACACTAAACGCGAAGTCCCGATGTATTGCGCAGCCAATGATTGACCGAACTGTTTTTTTTTTTTATAAAATTAAGCAGAAACGTAAAGGCCCACTAATTTTCGCGTTTCCGAAACGTTTCCCGACCCGGCCCAGCAGCCCAAGAGCGAAGAAACGTATCCCGGCGTTTCCCAGCCGTTTCCGGCCGTTTCCGGGCGTTTCGCGTTTCCGAAACGTTTCCGGGACGGGAACGGCACCCAAAACGACGTTTCCGTGCATCCTAGTTTAGAATCATATCAAATCTCAACACTCCCCCTCAAGCTGGTGCATAGATATCATATGCATCAAGCTTGTCACAAATATATCTTATCCTCGGACCGCGGAGTGACTTAGTGAGAAAGTCAGCTAACTGATCATTTGAATTGACAAAGAACGTGAATATTTCTCCAGAAATGACCTTTTCACGGATAAAATGACAATCGATTTCTATATGTTTTGTTCGTTCATGAAAGACCGGGTTAGAAGCGATGTATAAAGCTGCCTGGTTATCACAGATCAGTTTCATAGGCTTCAGTTTGCAAAACTTTAACTCAGATAATAATTGTTTCAACCATATAAGTTCACAAGTGGTGAGAGCCATGGCTCGATACTCTGCTTCAGCACTTGATCTAGCAACGACACTCTGTTTCTTGCTCTTCCAGGATATTAGGTTCCCACCAATGAGAACACAGTACCCTGAAGTTGATCTCCTATCGTTTGGACAGCCGGCCCAATCCGCATCTGAATACGCAGTAATATTGTCATAACCCCGGTTTGCATAAACCAGTCCTTTTCCAGGTGAACCTTTGATGTATCTTAGGATTCGAACGACTGCATCCCAATGACTATCACAAGGCGTGTTGAGGAACTGACTAACCACGCTCACGGCAAAGGAGATGTCCGGTCTGGTCATAGTGAGATAATTTAACTTTCCCACAAGCCGTCGATATCTTTCAGGATTGGAGATAGGCTCTCCCTGATCTGGCAAAAGTCGAACATTTGGATCAATTGGAGTATCAATCGGCTTACAATCTGTCATCCCGGTTTCCTTCAGAATATCAAGAGCATATTTTCTTTGGGATATGGCAATACCAGTTTTGGATTGAGCTACCTCGATTCCAAGAAAGTAACGAAGTCGTCCCAAGTCTTTTGTTTGAAATTGTTGGGACAAGTACAATTTAAGATTCTTTATGCCATCATGATCATCCCATGTTATTACAATATCATCAACATAAACAACAAGGTAAGTAGATTGATTAGATAAAGATTTTTTATAGAACACGGTGTGTTCTGCTTTGCATTGAATCATCCCGAACTGTTTGAGAGCTGTACTGAATCTGCCAAACCACGCTCGTGGGGATTGTTTAAGACCATACAAGGCCTTATGCAACCGACACACGTATCTACACTCCCCCTGAGCAATAAACCCTGGTGGTTGCTCCATGTAAACTTCTTCTTGTAAATTACCGTGAAGGAAAGCATTTTTTATGTCCAGCTGATGTAAGGGCCAGCTACGCATAGCTGCCATAGATAAGAACAAACGTACAGAAGCCATTTTTGCAACCGGAGAAAAAGTGTCACCATAATCCAAGCCAAAAACTTGAGTAAACCCTTTAGCAACCAAACGTGCTTTCAGCCGATCAACTTGTCCATCAGGACCAACTTTGATTGTAAACACCCAACGACAACCAACAGTAGATTTCCCATGGGGCAAGGGAACAAGAGACCAAGTACGGTTAGTTTCAAGGGCAGCCATCTCATCAAGCATAGCTTGGCGCCATCCTGGATGGGCAAGAGCTTCCTGGACAGTTTTAGGGATGGAAACAGAAGAGATGGAAGACACAAAAGCATAATGGGAAGGAGATAGACGATGATACCTTAAAAAATTGTAAATAGGATGTGGGTTCCGAGTGGAACGTATACCTTTTCCAGTTGCAATTGGTAGATTAGGTTGAGTTGGTGCCTCAGGTTGGTCCGGAGTAGGTAAAGGAGATGGAGCTGGAGATGAATCTATAGGGTCATTATTAGGGACATCCTCATTAGGTGCAGACCGTAGTCGACGATGATAAGTAATGAGAGGCTTGGAAGAAGACAATGGAGGACTGAGAGGTGACAATGGGGTAAGATGAGGAATAGGTAAGACTTGGGAGACAGATTCAACTTCTACTGGTGAAGTGAAAAATGGTTGATCCTCAAAGAAAGTGACATCTGCAGAAGTATAGAAACGGTGAGTGGAAGGTGAATAGCAACGGTAACCCTTTTGGACTCTAGAGTAGCCAAGGAATATGCATTTGATTGCTCGTGGAGATAATTTATCAAGACCAGGGGAAAGATCCTGCACGAAACAAGTAGAACCAAAGACTTTGGGGGGAATAAGGAAAATGGGGTCCTTTGGGAACAAGATAGAGTGTGGTACTTTGTTATCCAATGTAGAAGATGGCATTCGATTGATCAAATGAACAGCTGTGAGGACAGCATCTCCCCAGAATTTTAGTGGGGCATTGGCATGAACCAGTAGTGTGCGGGCTGTTTCAATGATATGTCGATGTTTTCTTTCGGCAATCCCATTTTGCTGAGGCGTGTGGGGACATGTGGATTGATGAATTATCCCTTGAGTAGCCATATATTCATTGAAATTTATTGAGAAATATTCCTTGGCATTATCACTACGTAGAACACGAATGGTATGATCAAACTGATTTTTTATTTCATTGCAGAAACTTTTGAAAATGCCAAATAACTCTGAACGTTCTTTCATTAAATAAAGCCACGTACATCTTGAAAAATCATCAACAAAGATAACAAAGTACCGAAATCCTAAAACAGAACTGACACGACTTGGACCCCAAACATCTGAGTGAACAAGATAAAAGGGAGATTCTGCACGACTATGACTCTTTTGGAAAGATGTTCTAACATGTTTACCAATTTGACACGACTCACAGGCTAAGGACTGTAAATGGGAAACTTGAGGTACCATTCTCCTCAATTTATTGAGACTAGGATGACCTAAACGTTGGTGAAGCAAAGAAGGAGACTCCACAGCAGTGCAAGCAACTGAAGAGGAAGTCTGAAAGTAGTATAGACCCTGAGATTCAAATCCTGCTCCAATCATCTGTCCCGTACTCCGGTCCTGTATAGAAAAAGAATCATCAATAAAGGTGACAACACAATTAAGACGACGTGTAAGTTGACTGACTGACACCAAGTTGAAAGGACAACCAGGGATCAAAAGAACAGAATTAAGAGATAAAGAAGGATGAAGTGTGGCCTGTCCAACACCAACGGCTTTAACTTTTGAACCATCAGCAAGAGTGACATGGTGCATTGATTTAGGTTGAGATAACTTTGAGAAAAGAGAAGGATTACCGGCAATGTGGTCAGAGGCACCGGAATCTATGATCCAAGATTTGAGAGGTGATGATTGAGAAAGGCATGCCGTAGAATTACCAGTAGAGTTGACTGCGGCTGAGGCATGGTGAGTTGCCTTTAGTTGAAGATACTCTTTATATTCATCGTCTGACAGAACATTCTGGGTGTTTTTAGCTGCTGCCCCAAGTATCACCGGTTCGGAGTGCATTACATTAGCAGATTTGTCTGGCCAACCAATAATTTCATAACATTTGTCTTTGGTGTGACCCATGCGCTGACAATGACTACACTTAGGTCGACCACCAGTGCCACCAGTGCTACGCCCTCCTCTATCACGCCCACGACCACGACTGCCATAGCTAGAACGAGATAAAAGAGCAGAGAACTCTAAGTTTGTGTGAGGACCAACATTTTCAATTCCATTTGGTGCAGGAACTCGCAACAGTCGACCAATAAGGTCTTCAGCAGTGGGAATGTTTGGATTCGTTAGGATTTGATTCCGCACTGAATCAAAATCCCTATGAAGTCCATGGAGAACAAACACCATACACATTTTATCAATTTTATCAAACACTTTAGAAAGATCAGGTTCGCTCAACATCACCTTAACCTCTTCAACAATGGATTGTGCCTTATTCACATAAGATGGAAGGTCATGGTCTGACATTTGGAGCGTTGCAAGGCTATGAACAACATCATAAATCCGTTGGACATCATTCGCGAACACACTTCTAGCTTTCTTCCAAATGTCATAACACGTCTTGTATGTGCGGAAGTGGATCAACAGTTTGGGATCAATGGACTGCCACAGAATAGCAACCAACTGATGATCTGCTTGAGTCCATTTTTCCCTTTCAGATGCACTTATCTCATCGGCTCTTTTGGTCAAATGATCCGACAAACCTTGGCCTAAGAACCACATTTCAACAGAAACTTGCCAATCCATGTAGTTTCTGCCGTTAAGTTTTTCAGAAGTTATTTGGGGATTCCCAGAAAAGACAAAGGACACAAGACTCCTGGAAGAGTCAGGGGGCGACATGACGTACACTGACTTGGGCACAATCTGGAATGACTAGGACTTTTATTCCTAGTGCGAGCAGACCAATCTCGATGAAGATTGGCTGCAGGGACAACTAGGGCAAGTGAGGATGAGGCTCTGATACCAACTTGATTTTACTGATTTGAATGAATTTGCTTGAGAGAAACTACTCTCAGCTGATCTCTATATATAAGGTTCAGAATTACAACTTACAAGGAAAGAATCAAATGTACATCTATCAATTACTAAGTCCTGATTTGATACAATCTGTACAATTAATGCTAAAATCAGGAAAGATATCATTTAGAATCATATCAAATCTCAACAATAACTATGACTGAAATGTTATTCATTTACTGAAACAGTATATATAAAACAACAGACCTTGATGGCATCAATGTTTTTCGGTTTTATATCTGCAGGTGAATGGAGTGAAGTGAACTTTGCGAGGGATGTCACAAAAGCATCACGATGGGTTTTCATGGACATCGTTGCCGTGACATGGATTGCATAACGAAAACCTTCCAAACACTGAGATACTACAACTTCTTCATCGCTTTGGTCAAGAGGGACACTGAAAGCAGCCAGCATAGGTGCCCAGCACACCTCAATCATGAATCTGAGGATTACTACATCTGTTGCAGCATAATAAGCTGACCTACAGATTACAATGTGCATATTACAAATAAAGAACCACTTACGAAAAGAATACTTAAAATATATGCATCAGTTGACAGTTTGACACCCTCATCCCGTATCATTAAATAGAGAAACAAGAGAACAACAATAAGCCCACCCTTTAAGAGACTACTTCACATAATTTATCAAAAGGACCTCATAAAAAGTGGAACTGAATAACTGATTCATATTTTTAGGTTGTTTGAGGAGAATGATATGGAGCAAGATAAGACAGTGGGCCCGCAGGGGGTTGCGATCGAGGAAGAGCAGGGCCCGAGGCCCTGGATAGTCTACCGAAGGCGGGGACGGGCCTGAGCCCACCTACGTGGGCTGATTTAATTGGTTCTTTAATTAATTGTTAGCTTTTATTATGTTTCCTAATTTAAGTTATTTCCTAGTATGAGTGTTTCCTAATTTAAGTTATTTCCTAGTATGAGTGTTTCCTAATTTAAGTTATTTCCTAGTATGAGTGTTTCCTAATTTAAGTTATTTCCTAGTATGAGTTGTTTAGGAGTTTTACTTTAATTGGGACTTGTAGTCTATTTATAACCCTCAAGAGGGTCATTCGAACTATGCTTTTGGAGAAATAAAATTGGTGTTTAAGCTTTAAGCTTCGGGCAACGATTGCTATCGTTGATTATTATTTTCTGTTTATATCAATTTGGTCCGACCTGCCGGATCCCGTCCCGCCACAATGACGAGATCTCAGAGTGATCGATTGACAGAGCTGGAAACTGAACAGAATCGTATGGGGGAAGAACAAGTGAGGTTGAGTGTTGAGCAAGCCAGGATGGCAACGGAACAAAATCGGATGAATCACACCCTGGAAGAACATGGTTCGAAGCTGGCGGAAATAGCCGCCTCGCTGGCCGCGCTGACGCACGCCTTGGTGCCGCCGGGTTCGCCGGAGGTCGCCGCGGCTGGAGTTGGGGCCATCGTTACACCCTCGCCCGGAGACGGATTGATGCGCAGTCCAGTTTCCACCCTGTTGCCTGCGTTCGATGGGACTGATCCGATCGGATGGATAGCCCGTGCAGAACAACAATTCGAATTGCTCGGAACTTTACCTGAGAAAAAAGTAGCAGCGGCTGTAGTGGCCATGGAAGGTGGGGCCCTCTACTGGGTAACTTGGTTGAAGGCACGCAGACCCGGTATGACCTGGGAAGCCTTCAAACAGGCCCTGGTGTCCCGTTTTGATTCTCGATTTCAGGGAAACAAGTTTGAACGATTGTTCGGAGTCAAACAAACGGGTTCTATTGAGGATTACAATACCCTATTTGTTCAGTTAGCAAGCCAGGTTCCGGGATTGACCGACGATCACTATTTGGGTTACTACATGAGCGGAATGAAGGAAGCCATTCGAAGTTCGCTGCGTTTACTACGGCCGGAGTGCCTGGAGACGGCTATGGAGTTAGCCGGTGAGGTCGAGCACAATCTGGCGATTCAGAATGGGGGAAGAGGGGTACCGAGTTATAATTCGTCCGGATCACGAACCAGCAGTTATCCACGACCCAATCCGGGATCCTTTTCGGTTACAAGTAGCAGCGGCACACGCAACCAGAGTGGCAGCTTGCCAAGGGCCACTGGACAGATCATGGGGTCCACTCCGCAGGCGGCAGGTACCACTTCCGGGCTAGGCGGGCAGCCCACCGAACGTTCCAGATTTACTAGACTACCCCCAAGGGTGCTAGATGAGTTACGAGCTAAAGGTTTATGTTTTAAATGCCGTAAGCCTTTTACACCGGGGCACGAATGTCCATTTAAACAACTAAGGGTAATGCTTGCGGAGGAGGACGAAGAACTGGACTTGCAGCAGCACGACTACTGTGAAATAACAGGGCAGGAGGATCTTTTTCCATGCAACGACAATCCCGAAGGCGGCTGTGGTGACTTTCCGGTTTATGCAATGGCCGGAATTTTCAGCCCACAAACCATGCGGCTCCGTGGAGTTATCGGAGGTTGTACGGTCACGGTATTAATTGATAGCGGTGCCAGTCATAATTTTGTATCCTCATCCTTAGTGTCTTTGCTACGCTTAAAACCCGACAAGACAGGACGATTCGGAGTACAACTGGGAGATGGACATAGGCAAGAGTCCGAAGGGGTGTGTCGTCAACTGCCCATAACCTTACCGGGATGTGCGGTGAAGGCGGACTGTTTTGTCTTTCCGTTGGCCGGTGTGGACCTCATATTAGGGGTGGCATGGTTAGCTACATTGGGGGAAGTGCGAACCAATTGGAAAGACCTCACCATGCAGTTCAAACTTGACAACAAGAGGGTTGAATTAAAAGGTGATCCCTCCATGTGCAAGAATGCTGTCAGCCTACGGACTCTACTCAAAACAGCCGATGATGGAGAATTTAGAGCCGTTGTTCTTGTGAGAGAGGCTGGCAAGGTAGTAGAGGCAGCAACTGATACTCTGGAAGATGTTCTCGGCCAGCATACGGAGGTTTTCAAAGAACCGCAAGGGCTACCACCACCCCGCACTACGGATCACCGCATCGAGCTCGTTACCGGGGCAAAACCGGTTTCAGTTCGGCCATACCGGTACGGCCATTTACAGAAGGATGAAATCGAGAGATTAGTCGACGAGATGTTACAGGCCGGCATCATTCAGCCTAGTTCTAGCCCATTCTCCAGTCCGGTTCTGTTAGTTAAGAAAAAGGATGGCAGCTGGCGATTCTGTGTAGATTATAGGGAGTTGAATAAATCAACCGTGGCAGATAAGTACCCGATTCCAGTAATACAGGAGATGCTAGACGAGCTGTCCGGGGCTGTGGTTTTTTCTAAAATTGACTTGCGTTCCGGGTATCATCAAATCAGGATGGCTGAACCAGACATACATAAAACCGCTTTTCGTACTCACAGCGGACATTATGAATTTTTGGTAATGCCATTCGGACTGACCAACGCACCGGCCACCTTTCAAGCCGTCATGAATGATTTGTTCCGTCCGTATTTGCGGAAATTCGTGCTGGTATTTTTCGATGATATCCTGGTATACAGCAAGTCGTGGGCGGAACACCGAGAGCAGTTGTGTCGGGTACTGGACATCCTTGAAAAAAATCAGTTCAGGGCAAATAAAAAGAAGTGTGCTTTCGGTCGACTTCAGGTGGAGTACCTAGGGCATGTCATTTCTCGGGAAGGGGTAGCTATGGATCCAGCAAAAGTTAGTGCAGTTGTGGAATGGCCGCGACCGAGGTCTGTCCGAGAGGTTCGGGGATTTCTGGGGTTGACAGGATACTATAGAAGATTTGTTAAAGAATATGGACTAATTGCGCGACCGCTAACGGAACTTCTTAAAAAAGAAGCTTTAACTCGTTTTCAGTGGACTGAAGAGGCCGAGAAGGCTTTCCGTCAACTCCAGAAGGCCTTGACTGAAGCCCCTGTTTTAGCCATGCCCCAATTTGACCGCTTATTTGTAGTAGAGTGTGATGCATCAGGAACCGGGATTGGAGCGGTACTTATGCAAGAACGAAGACCTATTGCTTATTTTAGCAAATCATTAGCAGATAGAACATCGTCCAGATCAGCCTACGAGAGGGAGATGATGGGATTAGCATTAGCGGTGCAACATTGGCGGCCATACTTGATCGGACGAAAGTTCATAGTGCGTACCGATCATCGGAGTCTCAAACACCTACTTACACAACGCATAGTGACTCCTTCTCAGCAAGTTTGGGTGGCAAAATTGTTGGGTTATGATTTCCAAATAGAGTACAAGACCGGCATCGCTAACGCGGCAGCAGATGCTTTGTCTCGAAGAGGAGAAGAAACTGATTTGGCGGCAATCAGCATTCCCGAATGGATGGGCTTGGCCGACATAGAAGAGGAGCAACAAAAGGATAAGGCTTTGCAAGAAATTAGGGAAGCCTTGGCCACGGATCCAGCAAGTGTACCAGATTACAAAATGGAAGGACATCGGCTGTTTTTTAAGGGTCGCTTGGTACTGCCTGCGGATTCCAAATGGATTCCGCGATTAATGGAGGAGTTTCATGCCACACCTTCGGGGGGACATGCAGGGGCCTACCGGACATACAGGAGACTCGCCTTAAACGTATCTTGGAGGGGAATGTTTCGGCAGGTACGCAGTTATGTGGCACAGTGTTTGGTATGTCAAAAGGCCAAATATGAGAATTTGTCACCCGCAGGGTTACTGCAGCCTTTACCAATTCCCAATTTAATTTGGGAAGATATTTCCATGGATTTCATTACTTGTCTGCCCAAATCGAAAGGATACACATCTATTTTAGTGGTGGTGGATCGATTGTCTAAATACGGACATTTTATTCCCCTGAAAAGTCCTATCACAGCCCGCTCGGTGGCTGAAGTTTTTACCAAAGAGGTGGTAAGGTTGCATGGCATTCCACACTCAATTGTTAGCGATCGAGACTCACTTTTTGTTAGCACATTTTGGAAGGAGTTGTTTATTTTGTCGGGTACCCAACTGAAATTTAGCTCGGCATATCATCCCGAGACGGACGGACAGACGGAGGTGCTTAACCGTGTGTTAGAAACTTACCTGCGTTGTTTCACAAGTGAGCAGCCGAAGCAATGGGTGCGTTGGATAAATTGGGCAGAGTACTGGTATAACACCGCGTTCCAGACAGCAGCCAGGGTCTCTCCATTCGAGGTGGTTTATGGCAGACCACCACCAACTATTCGGAGATTCCTGCCTGGAGAAAGTAGAGTGGCTGCCGTGGCAGAAACTTTGGGCAGCAGAGACGTTATGCTTAAGCGACTAAAGGAGAATCTACAAAAGGCACAAGGGAGCATGGCGACGCAAGCCAATAAACACCGCCGAGACATAGACTTTCAGGTAGGAGAAAAGGTGTTTTTAAAAGTCAGACCCCATCGGCAATCAACTCTATTTCGCCATCCATATAACAAGCTGTCTGCAAAATTTTATGGGCCATTTGTGATTGAAGCAAGAATTGGGAAGGCAGCATACCGCCTGGCACTACCTGCTACTAGCCGTATCCATCCAGTATTCCACGCATCTCAGTTGAGAAAGGTAGTTGGTGATCACCCAGTGGAAACTGAGCTACCAGAAAGCCTAGAGTTACCCATGGGACCAGTGTTCGAGCCAGAAGAAATATTAGCAACAAGAAAAGGAAATGACAAAAAAGACGAGTTGTTGGTCAAATGGGTGGGGCAGTCTACAGACGAGGCAACTTGGATGAATAAAGCGAGTTTCTCAAGCCAATTCCCTGATTTCAACCTTGAGGACAAGGTTCTTCCAAAGGAGGGTGAAATTGATATGGAGCAAGATAAGACAGTGGGCCCGCAGGGGGTTGCGATCGAGGAAGAGCAGGGCCCGAGGCCCTGGATAGTCTACCGAAGGCGGGGACGGGCCTGAGCCCACCTACGTGGGCTGATTTAATTGGTTCTTTAATTAATTGTTAGCTTTTATTATGTTTCCTAATTTAAGTTATTTCCTAGTATGAGTGTTTCCTAATTTAAGTTATTTCCTAGTATGAGTGTTTCCTAATTTAAGTTATTTCCTAGTATGAGTGTTTCCTAATTTAAGTTATTTCCTAGTATGAGTTGTTTAGGAGTTTTACTTTAATTGGGACTTGTAGTCTATTTATAACCCTCAAGAGGGTCATTCGAACTATGCTTTTGGAGAAATAAAATTGGTGTTTAAGCTTTAAGCTTCGGGCAACGATTGCTATCGTTGATTATTATTTTCTGTTTATATCAGAGAACTACCAAGCTAAGCTATAAAATAGGCAAAAAGTGGAAGGGTGTTGCAAATCCCTTGTATCGGGGGGGGGGGGGGGGGGGGTCAGATAATCTTACTCTGTTTTTCGAGCTTTTTCTTTAAATTGCTCTTGCATGTGTCTAATGAGGTCATCACTGGTCTCCGCATTTCCTTCTCGCTTTCGGATCACAATGTTCAGGATGTTATCTAAGCTTAAGATTTTATTGGCATTCATCGACTGTCTCTGTTGAACAGCCAAATCGTCTTCTTTCATTTTAATCTCATTTCTTGATATACGCTCAAACAAAGACCTCAAATACTCCTCTGGCAAATCCTTTCCATCATCAATCCCACGGTTGTTCCTTATGAAATCATCAGCTGACATCTGCAACATTTACCTATATTACACATCTATCTCGATATAAATTAGTTCAAATGAAATGAACAGCCTTTTCTCCATAACAAAATGAATGATTGAAAGATGGATGTACCTTGCTCTTGACCATAGGATTATGAGCATCAGTATTAAGCAGTATAACAGAGTAAGCTAGAACATAAGCAGTGTCCGCACTGGTAAAAACCTTTGGATTACATTTGCAATAACGCTCAGAAAACTTCTCCATTATACGGTCTATCTTCTGTGCCTCACCAGGCAGTCTGAACCCTTGGAGGAAGACCCTTATTGCCTCATCAAACTCCATACCTTGGAAGTCAAAGGAATCCACATAAGCATGCATTACTTTCAGAGACAAGTCATCCCTTTCCCCCAGATAATCACCAATTAAGGTCTTATTCAACTCAGATGAATTTCTAAGGAACGCAGCTATCTCTTCTGCTGAAGTCCCAACTTTATTGGCATTTATCAGGAATTCAATGCCTTTCTTTGGTTTACGATTAAAAAGTGATATGCCTTCCTGTCACGAAACTTTAATTAGATTCTATGAAGATCGAATCTAGAGTTTGCATTTCGGCAAATAATGTAGCTAATAGTTTTTTTACAGGTGTAGCTAACAATTTTTTTTTGACAGATGTAGCTAACAGTTATTAAAGATTATAAAAATGGGTTCCGTACTTGAAGCTCGAGCTTGTAAGCACGGCGCTGCTCAATTATTGAAGCATCAGAAACTTCACTAGAGGCTTCAGAAAATGAATCTGATGCTTCACCAGCCTCATCCCCATTTCCATTTTCCATGGGAGGACTAGCAGGTTGAAAATAATGTTCATCTGTCTCATATCTCTTGGCAAAATGAGAATCTGGAATTCGCAGTTGCTTGTTCATCCAATCTCCCATGGACTTCAAGATGGCCACTAAGCATTTCATAGCTTCCAACTTCATTGCTGCTTCTTGAGGGGGCAACAATGTTGTTGCAGTACCGGGAGGGACACCCTGAGCAGTTTTAAGAAGTCCATTGACCATTCTGAAAGGATAGGTTGAATAATTAAATGGAATTAATACATCCAAACAGTTCGGTAGTACGAGATATGAGCATACCTCTCAAATATGTTTGAAGAGTTGACATCACAGTCATAGTTAAGGAATATGTCCACCATAATTTGTGAGTCCACACATAACTTCTCAAGAAATCGGAGTACTATCATTTTCTGATGAAAATTAGGTTGAGAAACATTTTCCAACACTCTGAGGACAATCATTGGGAAAAACACTCCAATTTCTGCCTTCAATCCAGCTCTAAATCTTGATACCAGACTAATAAATATTGAGCATGAAAGCTGGAAGACAATCATAAGGCTTGAGCCACTGTTCTTTAGTAGTGACAAACACAAATACTGCTTAATAGCACCTAAGAATCTGTAACACAAGAACAAAGGTAAAATCAGAACCCTCATAACTTACATAAAGTGAAAAAACAAAAAAATCACCTCCATAACTCAAAGGTCAGGAAAAGTGCCCATCTCATTTTTTTATTGAACTTGTCAAACTAAAAACTCCTGCAGCCGTAATATTACAGGAGAAGCAAGTGTGTGACATGCTAGCACCCTTTAGAATAACATCTATTAGAAACACAAGTTCTCATGATTTTCCCTTTCCATCTTTCTATCAAATGTTGATTGTTGTAATTAGCTTCCTATGAATAGTGACTGCCATCCACCAATACATCAGGGTCTTCCTATGCTTAGTAATAGTTCAATACATCCACTGATCCTCAAATACAAATTTCTCAGGTGACTCTGTTTCAAGCTAAGTACTCCACACATTGAACCTTATCATGCTTACAGTATCAATTAGGTTAACTCTAACAGACAGTGTACTTTCAGTAGTTAGTAACTTGGTATATAAATCAATGCCAGCTGATATACACTTGCAGCAATCAGAATAAGAAGCACTGATTTATGGGCTACTTTCATGCACGCTTGTTTTTATAATTTATATATTTCCCATTATTTTCTTTTCTTTTGAAGGTTGTGGAGAAAGATGTTGATACTTGATGTACGTGCCGATTTATGTGCAATTGCAATGAAGAAAATATGAAACTTTAACTTTAGTCTAGTAAAGCAGCTAGTTTTACAAACTCATTAGTCATCACTATAACAGACATACATACAAAATAAACATAAAAAGAGCTTAGCAAAGTCACTGTGATAATATGTGTTTTCCACCATTTATTACATGATTCACATCCTTATTACATTTCATGCTTAACCTAATTAGGTAACTTTGATTTGCCTCTTAAGAAAGCATCACAGGTGACCCATTTCTTTACAGCACTTGGCATGCAAGACTTGACATTTTTATGTGATGATGGCATGATGCACAATGATATTATGTATAAAATCAAAGACGAAAAAAGAATGATGACTTCCAGCATGACTGCAATCATACCTTTCACTTGTCCTGAAAACTGCACCTGCATTCTCCAACAAAATTTTGAGCAATTCCAAGGCCACAATCTTCCCCTTCATAGAATGTGCATCTGCCATTGCCTCCTTTGGAGGAGTCTTCATGGAGAGTTTACACAAAGCTCTAAACACCAGGAACGCATCTCGTCTCAACTTATTCCCAATTTGCACTTCCAAATCTTCATCTCTCTCTCCCTCACCATCCACGAGCTCCTCTTTCCTCCCCTCTAAAGCTGTCTTATACATACTGATCTCCCAGTACTTGGCATCCAGCATATCCTTGTCTGTTGAGTCCAACAGATCAGCAGGGTTGGTAGACTCCACAGTGGAGGTAGTAGTTTCAAACGCACCATCATGAGCTCCACCGGTAGCGGTTGAACTCTTTGGGGTAGCAGAATTCAGAACCCCATCGATATCATACATAACTTTTGTTATAAATCCTTGTACAAACATTGTCATTGACCCATCCGCATCTGCCTTCTCTGGTGGTTCCATCAAGTCTGCCACCACAATAGGCTGCAGTGGTACAGTAGATGAGTCCGCCTCCATTCTCCTGAACACAATCACTAGCATTTGGACCAGCGAAGCTTTGGCAGTAGTCTGATTCACATCATTTTTGCTTTCCAAGTATATATCATAGCAAGTCCGCACGACCTGCAGCAGAGAATCCCCGTGGATTCTGAGCGATACAGATGTGACAGCCGATAACAGTGATTTTATAACGAGCAATTCTACGGAATCGTCTCCCAGATGGCGGCATTTGCAAACAGCCTCGACAAGTTTCGCCAAAAGCTTGGCATCTGGGCCGGAGGTGGGATCCGCCTCGCCACGGAGGTAGCCATGCGCGATGAGTTTCTGGACAGCATCTAAAGCAGGTTCAACGATCTTGAGGTTACCGGAGGCAGTTGCGTTGATAAGAGGACTGAGAAGGTGCTCGGAATCGGAGAGGGAGAGCTCGAGAAGGACGCCGGGGAGAGGCGGAGATGGGTCCGGATCGGATTGATTGGACGGAGAAATGGGGGAGGTAGGGATAGGGGTTGCTGAAGTGAGGAAATCAATGACTGACTTGCACTCATGAGCGAGCTTCGAGTGCTTGCGCCATGAGCCATTCTTGGTGATCTTCTCGAGTGCCGGTACTAAGACTTGGGGGTTTACTAAGACCTGTGTTACGGCGCATAAAATAAACAATGTTGTAAGACCGTGTTTACTTCAAACGGTTTAAAACACCGCTTAACATTAAAATGTCCAAAATAACCCTATACATATATATACACACAAACATTCATGAACACAAATATATAATATAAATGTGTACCCATACCCCCTAACCCCTTACCTACCTTACTCTGACCCCACCTACCCCTACCCCTACCCTACCTACCCGACCCTACCCCTACCCGACCCCACCCTACCCGTCCCCACCCTACCGCGACCCTACCCCTGACCCCATAGGCCCTTACCGCATCGACCCCACTCTGACCCCACCTTACCCTACCTTACCCCAACCCCGCCCCTACCCCTACCTTACCCCGATTACCACTACCCTACCCGATCCCACCCAACCCCTACCCCTACCCTACCCGACCCCACTCTGCCGCAACCCTACCCCGACCCTTACCCCCAACCCCACCGCACCTACTCTGCCCCTAGCGCCTCTATCACATTAGCCCCACTCCGACCCCACCACCCTAGGTATAGGGTGGGGTAAGGGGTGGGGGTCGGGGTATATGGCGGGATGGGGTAGGTGGGGTAAGGGTATGGTGGGGTGACTGCGGTCAGGTAGTGGTAGGGTGGGTCGAGGGTAGGTAAGGTAGGGGTGGGGTAGGTTGGGTAGGTGGGGTTCAGGCGGGGTATGGTGTCACGCCCCGGACCTCCCCGGACACGTCAACAACCCGCCGTACAATACGAATAGTCAACCGCAGTCCAACACATTCATATTATACAAGGCGTCTTGAATATCATTCACACATATAACATCCATAAACAAACATAATAAGTAATTCATAACGCAGCGGAAAACATTGTTTAAAACAAAAGGGCCACACAGGGCTATTCATGAGCACGCAGGCTCTAAAGTAAAATATCCATGAGCATGTTTAATATTGTTCAAACAGAATGGAGAAAGCACGAACCACGTCTTCTCTCCAAAGGATCACCCGAGCAACGGGCACAGGTAGCAAGCTCGAGCCTCAACCTGAAAAATGGTAGTGGGACGCCCCCGAAGGGGTCAGCACTCTATAGGGCTATAAAGTGCTGGTGTGGATGGCATCTAATAGATATACAACAAGTATTTCAAACACAAGACCCTCAAATAGGGTGGTAATACAATATAGTGGTAACCCTAAGTTACCCCGTTTTAAAAATATACTTACTTTAATAAAAGTCAAGTAGTCCGCCCGTGGGCCCATGTTCATTTAGAAAATCACCATTCTCATTCCCCGTGACTATAAGCCACGACAATTCATAAGTTCATCACGTTACCATTGCATAGCAAGGGCTCGGCCCAACTACATTTCTATGCAATCCTTTATGTCAAGTACATCCTATCACATTTGCATAGCAAGGTCTCGGACCAACTACATTTCTATGCAAATCACAATTTACATGGCAAGGTCTCGGACCAACTACATTTCCATGCAAATCACAATTTCATCCTATCACATTTGCATAGCAAGGTCTCGGACCAACTACGTTTCTATGCAAATCACAATTTACATCCTATCACATTTGCATAGCAAGGTCTCGGACCAACTACATTTCTATGCAAATCACAATTTACATCCTATCACATTTGCATAGCAAGGTCTCGGACCAACTACATTTCTATGCAAATCACAATTTACATGGCAAGGTCTCGGACCAACTACATTTCCATGCAAATCATAGAGTCCGGCTCTAATTCCTCATTATAGTCCAATTCCTAAGCAAACCTATGCCTAGAATTGGCATCTCAAATGCTTCGTATCTACCTTGGTCATTCTTAATGACTGCCCATAACTTACCCTTAGCTTCATACTAAGTCATTTTATACACTTGAAGTACATTCAAGTGCATTTCATACAATCCAATGCTTAGGATCAATTCCATCAACAACTTCAAATAATCACTAACTAGTATTTCAATACTATTAAGATTATTGTCATCATACAAATATCCTCATTTTGTAATTCTCCACATATTTATAAGTGTGTAGCCGCAACTTAAGTACTCAATTTCAATACATAAATATTCATTTATGTATCCACATAATTCATACATGAGTAAAATCCCCATTTCACAAAATAGTTCATTTATAACTCATTTAATCTCACATTATTCATACATCCTCAAATCATTTCCAATTTCATTCTTTGGGAACTATATCAATATTTAATCATAATAATCCATGAAAATTATGATTTTGGCATTTAGGTAATCTCATGCTTAACCTACAAGTTGTAAGCAATTAGATGTCGATCCTCACCTCAAATGAGCTTTAAAACTTTCCTTCTCGATCCAATGACCCAAGCTTCGGCCAAGGAATATTGAGGACTGATTCCTTGCTTGGAATTGAGTGTTAAACAGCCTCTTCAAAGTGCTAGTTCAACTCCTAACCGAAGGCACAAAAACAGTCCCTAGAACGGGTGTTTCCCGACGAAATCGTTCCCTAACCTTTCAAGGTTTTGTCTAGATTAGTATCTAACTTTTACAACAATTAAAGTCACTTTATAATAACATTTTATACACTTCAATCAGTGTATAATAGTTCTTCAATCACTTATATGGTTTAGACAATAGAGAGGAAGGTTTTGGATTCAAACTTACTTTGAATACAAAAACGTATTCTGCGAGGTCGTGTTTTGCTCGGTCTATTTGGAAGTCTTCCACTACTCCGATTGATGCCAACCAGACCTTCACGGATTCCTCGTCTTGAGAGCTTTCTGTTGGTATCTCGCACGCCTTATTTGGATGAGTAAATCTCAAGTTATGGCTCAAACAGTCAGAGCTACGCACTGAAGAACGAACCTGCGGACTGCTCTCCTCCTTCTTTCTCTCTTGGGTTGTGTGGACTCCCTTGCTCTCTTATCTCTTTGGGGGTTCGAATGGGGTGTAGGGGGAGTGTATTAGGATACCCTAAACATGCTAAAAGAGTATGTGGCTCACAAAAGAACATGGGAGGTATTTGGTTTGCAATCAAATATGGGGTGGACCTCCCTCTTTTGTTTTCTCTTGGAATTTTTTTGTGCATGTGAGCCAAGAGCCCGCCCCATATAGTCTTCTCACCTCTTTTCATTTGTTTTGAAGGTACTAAGTCCATGTGGAATGGTTCACAATTGATCCCATTCAACTTGGAGTCCAAAATATCTACCAATACTTCCAAAAATGGGAAGATGGGTCCTATTGTTTTATCTTTTGTCAAAGATGCCTTTTTGTACTCATCCTAATTTATTTAGAACAAGTCAACTTCCTTCATCACATTATTGATCTCCTAATATGTGTAGGTTCATCTCAATAATTTACTTGGTGGGTATCATAGAAGAAAATCTTACTCCCACTATTTAGCTCAATAATGTCAAAGATGGAATCATAGGCATTTGTATTCATCTCAAATCATCCTATCACTTATTTTGACATTTGTCATCCATATTATTGGGCTACAAGCCGTGTGGGTCACCCCCGAGTGGGCCTACGACGCCATTCTCGAATACTTGCTATTTTAGCGGGTTGAGCCCAAAATAATATCTGGGCCGCCCGCCCCTCCTCAACTTGTCTCGAAACGTTATGTATCACTATTTAGATAATGCTAGGCTCTTTTATTTATTAAAAAGGCCCGATACTAATATACGAGTTCGAATAGTATAATAATCAATCGTTAATTACTTAAAACCACAATCGTTTCACAATTGTTTGGGAATCAGAAATTCAATACATAAGCTTTGAATTTTTTTTTTTTTAAATTTGAATTTTCAAGGACGTTCGGGTGCGGTGTCACAAGTTCACCCCCCCTTAACAGGAATTTCGTCCCCGAAATTCGCAGCTCTACTCGAATAGGAAAGCATACTGCTTCCTTATCAAAGCCTCTGTTTCCCATGTCTCTTCTTCAACCCGATCACTCTTCCAAAGGACCTTAACCATTGGAACTTCTTTACTCCTCAATTTCTTCACCTTTCTATCGGTGACCTTGATCGGTTGCACAGCGTAGTTCAAACCCTCACGTACCTCCACAGGCGGCTTCTCCAATGCGTGAGAGGGATCATGCACATACTTCTTAAGCATGGATACATGGAACACATTATGTATCTTCTCTAATTCAGGAGTGTATGTCGGTGAATGAGCCTCCTCCAGTATGGACTCTCGAAGCTCATCATTCGATGGTACACCCACTCGGCCACGGAGTGACAAGAGACCCTCGTCTCTCTCACGGAAATCCTCCACGGGTCACGCTAGCATGCGTTCTCGGACCCTTTCGAGTGAGCTTCGTCAATGGCGATGTCAAAACTGGAAACTTCTCCACGAATTTTCTGTAGTAATTAGATTAATCAAAGTTTCAATTTCCAAGATCCTCCATCTAGGATGTTATTATTTTATAGCTAACTCATGTTCCTTCATGCTAGAGCTCGGCTCATAGTCATACTAGTTTGTGCTAGAGCTCGGCTCATAGTCACACTACATTTTGCTAGAGCTCGGCTCATAGTCATACTACCACGTGCTAGAGCTCGGCTCATAGTCATACTACCACGTGCTAGAGCTCGGCTCGTAGTCACGTCATCTAATCCCTGAACAACTCCTTAGTCTAGGTTCCATCCATTTTGAGTAACCCTTAAGGCCTACTCCTAATGTAACTTGAGTTCGTAGGGTATCATCTTTCTTTTTCATAAAGGGACTGGTGCTTCCCGCGGTGAATAGTTCGGTCTAATGGACCCATTATCCAATAGCGCGTGCAATTGGCTCTTCAATTCATTAAAATCAGCAGGTGCCCTTCGGTATGGCGGTATAGAGATTGGTTCGGTACCGGGCCCGACCTCGATCACGAATTCAATCTCCCTATCAGGTGGAAGCCCCGACAGGTCTTTAGGGAAAACATCCGGGTACTTACAACTACCCTCACATCAGCGATGTTCATTTCCTC